CTCACTGTAATAAATATATCCCACTCATCATGAAATCTCAAGTTTGCTGACTTGATTCCAGAAAGTTAATTATTTTACTGCACTATAAACACACTCTCAAACAAACACAAAGTGGTTATCTATACTTTTCAATGATTGTCCAACTGAAATTCATCTATCCTGTGGCATCTTATTCAAATAGAACAGTCTGCATATATCTCCCAACAATAATAACAACTTATATCCCTTTCATTCTGATCACCAGTGTCAGTATGCATATTCACTGTAACAAACACGCCATGTAATCTGAAAGTTGTTGGCTCGATCCCACAAACTTGTTTATCCACCAACACTCCTATATAAATCCTCAAACAAACAAGAATCAGTTAACTATTCTGCAATGGTCTTCAATAGGTGTCGAACTGAGATTCATCTATCTTATGGCATCCTATACAAATGGAACAGTCTCCACATATTTCCCAACATCAGTGACAACTACTACTACTACTGTGGTGTGAGCTACTTATAAGTAGTATATGACTCCAGTGAAAACGTAATGTCTGGCAGCAGAAGATGGGGGAAGATCAAGGAATGAAGAGTGGGAACACAATGGAATTTGTATGAAACGCATGAATAGTGACAATGGATTGATGTTTTGCAACAGGAACAGTCCAGTTCGATATGATGAACTGATATTTTGCAAATGAACGATTTACGATATGGTTTTCCGATTTTACTGAGTAACTCTGTAATTTTTTGTTAAATACAATCCGGTTGCCCCACCTGTGTTCTCGTTCACTGCAGACACCCTTACCGACGAAGACGGAAATCCTTGAGGTAGAGTAGACCTCTTCTAACCCTTCCGTCCTTCCTTGTGAGAAGGCAGCACCGCTGCAGATGCTGGTTGTCCAAAGGAAACAGCTTACTGCTGTCACACCCCTCCACAGTCAGTCAGATGTACGACTTCGACCTCAGATCTTGGGTAGCTGCTTTTAGTCTCATCGTTCTCCAATCGACCTGCCTGGCATGGCAGAACCTTCAGGAACATATGTTCCAGCTAATATAGCTCGGTTTGATCATTACGATAGTCAAGCCTGACCACCACGTCAAGATAACAGTTACGGTCGGTCTCAAAGAAACATGAAATGGTTATCGATACTTTTCGAAGTTTGTCTAACTGAAATTCCTCTGTCCTGTGGCATCCTATTCAAATAGAACAGTCTCCATATATCTCCCAACAATAATAACAACTTATATCCCTTTCATTCTCATCACCATTTCAACTTGAACTAAAACACTGACAGTATGCATATTCATTGTAACAAACTCACCATGAAATCTAAAAGCTTGTGGCTCGATTCCACAAAGTTGTTTATCCACCGATACTCCTATCTAAATCCTCAAACAAACAAGAATCGGTTAAATATTCTTCTTCGTGTTCAATAGGTGTCTAACTGAGATTCATCTGTCCGATGGCATCCCATTCAAATGAAACAGTCTCCACATATTTCCCAACATCGATGACAACAACTACTACTACTGTAGTGAACGAGAACACAGGTGGGGCAACCGAATGGTATTTAACGAAAATTACAGAGTTACTCAGTAAAATAGGAAAACCATATCGTAAATCGTTCATTTGCAAAATATCAGTTCATCATATCAAACTTGACTGTTCCTGTTGCGAAACATCAATCCATTGTCACTATTCATGCTATTTCATACAAATTGCATTGTGTTCCGAACTCTTCCTTTCTTGATCTTCCCCCCATCTTCTGCTGACAGACATTATGTTGACACTCACGTCATCTACTACTTATAAGTAGCGCGCACCACACTGCTACTACTTACATACCTTTCATTCTCATCACCATCATCATTTCAACCTGGTCTAAAACACTGACAGTATGCGAGTATGTAAGACAGGCTTTGAATGTTTCCAAATGCATTGCAGATCGATAATATCTCATCCATCCAATATATATATATATATATATATATATATATATATATATATATATATATTTATCATCACTCATCCAATTTTGCAAGCATTTCTAATATAACATGAACATCTCCCCTCCTCAATCAATCAATCAATCAGTTGTACAATTATTATTATTATCTTATTTTATCTAATTAGATTTTTGGTTGAGATTGAATTTTTTCAGTAGAAAAATCTATTTTGTTTTGAAAAAACGAAGTAGAGTTTGGTATAAATACACTTTTATTTGTTGATTAGAAAAAATTCTACTTTATATCAATCGAATAAGTTGGAAAATAAATAAAAATTTGTTAGGCAGAAAAAAAATATTCAATTCATTTTACACACACTATGAATGATACTGACTACGTTTTATTTTTAAATAAAATGAAAATAAAATTTACGATCTTGATTACAGACTACTGAAACAATTTAGTAAGTAGTGTTGATAGTGGAATATTGTTTTCTTGACATTTCGTGACTTAGTGTATATCATTCTTCCAGAGAATAGAGATAAAAAATTCTACTCATTTGGATTATATATATACATATATATATATATATATATATATATACATATATATGAATGAAATTATCAATCAGCACTTGTTAGACCACCACTCCACTGGTCACGTCTTCTCAGTAGAACACCGAGAATTTCCTCACGAAGATAGTCATTAGTGAGCACATATTAAGATATTTTTAATGAAAGACAAATGGTGGGGTCGCGCAAAATCCCTAGATCAATCAGAGTTAGACACTAACACCGTTGGATGTCGGCCCAGTGGTTAGGCGTTCGTGCACAATCCGAAGATCCTGGGTTCGAGTTCTGCGAGGTGCAGGATTTGTCGAAGCGCACTGCTGATGAGTTACATACCAGAACGAAACGGCCGTCCAGTGCTTCCAGGTTTCTAATGGTGTTCTAGTAATGATTGATTGATGATTTCAAATGTATAAAAACATTTAATCTCAATAACTCTGATTGAAAATATGTATAAATATGTGTGTGATTGCTAACAATCTATTCAGTGTTCTTTTATTTCGCCGAAATTATCAAGCCAATCGTTGGTAATGATATATGGATTGAGTCCCAGTAGCTGTCTAATATGCATATGTATACACATATATTTCAGTGAGTCACTGGTTAGCATCAGTTTACTTATTTCAAAATGATTTTTCAATAGAAAATTGCATCTATTTTTCGCTTTCACGTTATGCTCGTCAACCGGTATGCTTGAAACTATTACAGGTTCAAGTTAGTCGATAAACCAGAACGAGACAATGAACAAGCGTCGAGGTAGGCGACTCTGATCCGCTGATCCAAGGGCACTAACAAGAAGTCTTGATATAGCGTAGAAATTGTATTCTACAAACACCTAACAAGCACAATCAATCAAAGCACACGAATCGCGTTTATTTATACATCATCGAAACGTCCTTCAGACAGTCACAAAAATAGCACACTAAAATACGCAGCAACCAATCACGGCCAAGGATTTTCCTGATGGGAAATGAAATCTCATGGTCAACTGATCAGCCCATGAATAAAATCCAAAATAAAGGCATTTACGAAGGGAGTTCTGGGGATCTTACATCCCCAACAGTTTTCTCAAGCTCTAATCTGAATTTCTTATGACCTTCATCTTTCTCTCCACAAATTTATTTCACTGAATTATATTTCTTGAATAATATCCTCAAATCGTAATCCCTTTTTGATTACTGCTAATACTTCTACTATCTCTACCACTATGGGATTTGAATTGACAATTCAGTCTATGTGTACTAAGATAGTATGGCAACGTTGAACTGATGTAAGTTCTATGTTGTAGTTGACTGATTGACTATTTTAAGATTGGATTACACAACGACATATAGCAATGAACAACAGGATATATATTGTAATAGATAGTCTAAATAACTCCAAAACTATCGATCACACACCCGGATAAAGAAGGATGGTTGGGCAAGAGACGGACGATCCCATACCGTAAAATACTAACTCGCCAAAACACCTTAGTAAGTCTAATTAACATTTGTTGATCATTGAACGGAGATTAGTCTCAATATGTAGACGAATTCTACTTAACATACTAAAATGTGATTACTAGTCTTAATGGTTCGACATGCCATGTAATGTATCAAACAGTTAGACGTCTTAAGAAAAACTCGGTGGAGCGCTTTTTTCCCAGTCATGTATTTAGGAACTTTAATTCTGCCTAAAGCCCCCCTCTTGGTATTACTGCCTAATTCCAAGCCCTGAATAAAATGAGGAAGGTTGGACATGGGGTGATTAGCGACCACATCTAGTAGAAAATTAACTCGCTCGGAAAAAAACCCACTAACCCGTTTTCAATCTATAACCAAATTTACACAAAATAATATATAAATGCTTACAGTCAGTCAGTCAGTCAGATGCAACGTAGAACTTCGTACGTAAGTACATCAGTTTATGTCGCCATACCACATCAGCACAGAGATATAATTGTCGATTCAAATCCAATAGTAGAAGAGGTAGTAAAGGTATTAGGAGTAATCGAAGAGGTTGGGATTAGAAGATATTATTCAAGAAGAAGTATGATTCAATGAGAAAAGTTTAGCAAGACAAAACTAGAGGTGTTGAAGAATCCAGAAGATTAGGATTTCAGAGAGAACACAAAGCATACAAATGCACCGGCACCATTTCAAACGATTTTGAGCCATGTCATCATTCAAGGTATAAATGCTTACAGTATAACAAAAGCATTTTCTGATTAAAAAAAATAATGACATTTTATTTTTATTAGTCTAATGAAAAATACTATTCAAAGTAGAGAAGTACACAATAAGAGGAAAAAATTTACTCGAGCAACTCAAAAGAGATAAATAGAAAGAAGATTAAGGTTGAAATTCTATTTTATCCTTTCTTATAAATAAACAATGATTTTCATACAAGTTAACAACCATAAGAGTAGAAAAAAAATACTACTACAAATCAATATACTACTAACAATAATAATTAGTAGTACTATTAGTTACTGATGAATCAATCAGTAATAATGACGGAGAAGAGAGGATTTAATCGAAATAAACTGACATTTTCATCGATAAATAAGCAGTCAGGAATTTTGATAGAACAATATAAGAGGAGTAGGTTATTGATGTGAAATATCAGGAATTTACTATATACAGACAGACAGACAGATATAAACAGATATACATATAAATGATTACGTAACATTTGGTCATTCTTCACCGTTGCACCTCATCCGATGTTAACAATGTTCATGGTGTAGTAGTAGTAATAGCAGTAGTATAATTTGTTTCACATTGTTGTTCGACAAGCAATTCGGGTATTTCAGGATATGACAACGATTTAGGGAATGGTTGTTGAAGAACATGTTTTGTCTAAAATATAAAATTCCAACAACCAGAACAACAACAAAATTAACAAATAGATAATAAGTATAATTGAATTTTCGATCAATGTTCAAGATAATAATAAATTTGGCGCGATTTTTAATGTTAATGAATTGTAACGCATTCGAAACCGAACTAACTCTATCAACTCCTGGTTTCGTTTATCAGTGTGTCTTAATCTCATGCTGACTTTATTATATCTGGTTGTATGTAAATGCATTGTTCTATGTGCTTACTGAGTCGTCGGCTCATCTTTTTCTCCTGTTCTTTCTTCTTCTTCCAGATAATATCATACGCTGCTCCTCACACAGCCCCCTTCCCAGCACACAAGGTACCTTCGGGATAAACGAAAACCAACCAAAGACTGAAGTTACAGAATGGTGCGGAGTGGTGTTACATGTCATTTATAATCACTTGTTAGATCTTTACTGTAGTCGGTATGTAGCAAGTATATATCGACCTTCACGTCCAGTCCACTGACCTTCTTATTCCAAGACTTTGGAAAGCCAAATCAATCCATTCTGCACGAGTCAGTGTATTCATGTCATATCGCTTTTGACCTGATCAACTACTATTCACTTTTATCTTGATGGTTTCTATTGCAGTATGTGGGTGCACACCGCTTACTTAGCTTATCGTATTTCTAACTTATTGTTTACCTGACTATAATTACCTAATTATGATTCATTGCACTGAGTTCGCACTCTAGCATTCTTCACTTCGCTTCACTTTGCTTTCACGCGTTGTATTCTCTAGCTTTTAATCCATAGGGCAATGCGGAGCAACGTAAGGAGTCTTATGGTAGCCAGAAAACCAACGTTAGGTTCATACGCTATTTGTTCCATTAGGGTTTTTCGCAACTCCTCTAAATGGATTCTTTATTCTCACTAACTTAGATAAAGAAAGCGCCGAGCATTCACTTTTAGTAAACAATACTCCAGCCATCAGCAGTAGATAGTGAGTGTTCGGAGAAGGAGAGCAAACTCTTGACTACTTTATAAAAGAAACCATGAATTTTATGTGTACGACAGAAAAATCGACATAGATGAGCCCGTGCTGTGTATCTAATCTTAATAATATGTTATAATATCTCTCGCCCTTTTTATATTAAAGACTGAAGTTGATTATGCACAACGGATAAGCCCAAAACAAACACAATTCTGACAAATAAATCTGTTACATGTTGTTACCAATACTCCGCTAAAATATCTTCCTAACTAGTTCTTGTTGAATTCAACCAGTCATACACGTCAACTGGGACAATAAAAAGGTGCGAATAGCGAATGGAAAATTTACTCTAAGATCAGTTTATGTACAGGGAGAACGAGGGTATTCATAGAGTTATACATGATCTTGGGTTTGTCGAAATTTCTGGGAACCCTACTGAATATATGTGTTGTCAGTATAAGTAAACAGGCGCGATTATTAAGCATATATATTAACTAGCTCAAAGTCATATAGAATCGCTTGCGTAAAAAGCGGAACCCCAGCGGGAGCTCTTCTGAGGTTACAGACGATCTTAATCCCAGATAAAGGAGGACAGTTGAGGATGGAGTTGGCAACCACGTGGCGTTGAAAATCATATCGCTAAAACAACGCTAACCAGAACAAATGACTTTGACTATTTAAACTTTGCCCTGGGAGTAAGTAGGTCTTCCTTTGGAAGAATTATGAAACGTCATGATGAATTTCTTCAGAAGTCACGAGGCCGATGCCCCTTTTGAAAACCAGAGCAACCATTACTTCAGTTACATTGTGCGAGACCGGTTTAGTCATTCAAGCTGTTGTGGAAATGAAAAAATATAAGCTGTCAGTATTTGGAATCAATGCATAGAAAGCGGGCAGTATATCGAACTAAAAACCATCGGTCTCACGTACCAACGCTTAACTTCTTTATCAGTGAGCTGGACCAACGGCATTTATGTCCAACTGCAGTCAATCAATGCATTTACGGGTGAACCAAAAGTCCTGGGATAGCGAGGTTGTAGTAGCAGCGCGCTGCCGCTGATGAGACCCATGATACAACGAAACAACTATCTAGTGCCTCAAACTTTCCAGTAGTGGTCTAACACTAAACAGTTCATGATTTCATTCAGTAAGTTGAAAATATAGTCAGTCAGTCAGATGCAACGTAGAACTTCGTACGTAAGTACATCAGTTAACGTCGCCGTACAACATCAGCACAGAGATATAATTGTCAATTCAAATCCAATAGTAGAAGAGATAGGAAAGGTATTAGAAGTAATCGGAGAGGTTAGGATTAGAAGATATTATTCAACAAGTATGATTCAGTGGGGAATGTTTACAAAGTTGAAGAATGCAGAAGATTAGGATTTGAGAGAACACAAAGCATAAATGCACCGGCGTCATTACGAACGGTTTTGAGCCATGTCATTCGATTATTATTATTATCATCTCGCGGACCCCAAAGAGGTAGTCGATAACTACTGACATGGCTCATTCCACTAGTCAATGACTTCATGGATTTCTGACATGTTTTGGTTGAGCCGCCCCTAACTTTCTTCCAACCTACTCCTCCACTACAAAACATAGCTCGACGAGGCAGTCGGTGGTTAGGCATACGTAACACATGTCCCAACCACCTCAAATGATGAAGTTTCACCACTTCATCGATTGATCTGCCATCCTTGCCTAGTACTCGTTTCCTAACGACAGCATTACTTACTCGGTTGTCCCACGGTATACGAGCGATGCTTCGAAGACACCTATGATCGAAAACCAGTAACCGACGAATATCATCTACTCTCTCTGGCCATGTTTCACAGCCATAAAGTAAGACGGAGAGAACTACTGAGCAGTACACTCATCCTTTAGTCAGCTAACGGATATCTCGTCTATGCCATAAGTGACGCAGGTTGGCAAAAGCTAATCTAGCCTTCGTAATCCGTGCTGAGATTTCATCAGTCACCAGTCCATCAGCACTAGTGAGACTCACCACATAAGTGAAGCGGTCTACACGCTCGACTACTTCACTCCATCACTAGATCAGGTTCCGATTCAACCCAATCTTGAAACAACATTTTGCATTTCGAGGGGGAAAACCGCATTCCGAACATGCTTGCATTGTTGCTCAGGGTAGTCAGAAGACGCTGCATTTTGTCAGAGTCTTCACCTAGTAGAACTATGTCATCGGCATATTCTAAGTCAATAAGCGAGCCACCTGGTAGAAGGTCTATTCCTGAAAATTCAGGTGAGGATAAGGTTATTTCTAAGAGCATATCTATGATAAAATTAAACAGAAATGGAGAAAGTGGACATCCCTGACGGACACCACTTGATGTAGAGAATTCCGGTGACAGTTCGCCATAAGATCTCACTCGACCATTGGTGTTCGAGTAGAGAGCTTATATGAGGTTAATTTACTTCTTTGGTACACCTTTCAATGACAGACACTGCCACAGAACCTCACGATCAACAGAGTCAAATGCCGCTTTTAGGTCCAGGAAAACAACTATTGTAGGATCCTGTATGCGCGTTTCCGAGACGCAGCATACATCAATGGCACGAGATTCTAAAGTCCTAGCTAATGATGTCTGTTGCACTATTTGACACAATGTCCGTACATTAAATGTTCCAACATGTAGTCTAGAACGGGGTTTAAGAAGACCAGGAACGACGTTTCGTGAACTCATGTCTTCTGCATTAGCTGTGCACTGTGATAAATGAATGTGAGAAGAGTTAGTCGTGGAGATAAGAGAGGTACTAGGGGGTGTAGGAAGGATTTGATTTCGACCAATTTGGTCTCGCGTGCTGTTACGGGTATGAGGGCGGTTGACAATTCCCGGCTGCCCACAACGTGGAAGGTTGTTTCTTAAAGGACCAGGGTGCGTGACTGCAGAGCCCAAAGGACAACTGCTGGAGGCCGGTCACGCACGGCCTTTTTATGAAAGGTATTTTGAGGATTAGCTCCGTTCTTAAAGACCCTTAGTAGGCACCCTTACCAACGGAGACGGAAATCCGTGAGGTAAAGGTGAGGTGTGACATTTTTAGGGTCGAACTTTTCTAATCCTTCCTTCCTTGTGAGAAGGCAGCATCGCTGCAGATGCTGGTTGTCCGAGGGAAACAAAAACTTTACTGTTGTCACACCGCTCTACAGTCAGCAGTACGACTTCGCCCTCAGACCTTGGGTAGCTGCTTTTAGTCTCATCGTTCTCCGATCGACCAGCCTGGCATGGTAGGACCTGCAGGAACATAAGTTCCAGCCAGTATTACTCGGTTGGGTCATCACGATAGGCAAGCCCGACCACCACGTCAAGGTAGTAGCTACGGTCGGGACACTAATTGGTTAATGATTTCAATAAATAATTCGGAATTAAAGAACTCCAAAAAAAAATATTCATAACATCACACACAGACAAACAGTGATTGACATAATACAGTTGTAGTAGGCAGACAAACAAACAAAGAAATAATAATTTAACTACTTACTAAATCATAAGGCCAATAACTAATATATTTATGATCAGTTTCATTCATTTGTATTAACATTGGATCGGAATAAATCAATAAAATATCGTATAATGACTTGGAATGATTTGAAATTGAACAAGTAGTGGCCAATTGAAAACCTGACCATAATTCTGATGCATAAATTGGTGCAATCGGTGTTAACATAACGATGAGATCAGCTAATGCACGAAGATATAAGAAACTTGTTGGGCCTGGACCACCAACATGTAAAGAAGATTTCTGTAATTGTTAACACAACACAACACCAAAGAGAAGACAATGCGTCAAAAGAAGAAGGAGAAGAATAATTTATAATAAAGATGGTGAATATTATGAAAGAAACTTAGGACGTAATCCCATCTGACTGGTCTCAATCACTGATTGTTCCAATTGATAAGAAAGGACAAAAGTCTTCTTGTGACAATCACAGGGGAATGAGTCTAACTAATATAGTTTCTAAATTGTTAGCCTCCATTTTACTTAGACGCCTTACTAGTGCTCGTGAAGAGCAAAGTCGAGGAAACCAGGCTGGTTTTCCACCTGGACGTGGTTGTATAGACCACATTTTCACACTACCATAGGTCCTGGAACACAGACACACATTTAGGCGTCCTACAATAGTTGTTTTCCTGGACCTTAAGGCGGCATTTGACTCAGTGGATCGTGAGGTTCTGTGGCAGTGTCTGTCTGGGAAGTCGCATCAGTGCTGATGGGTTAGGGTTTTTTGCAGTGTAGGAGTCGGTTGAAAGAAAGCTAAGGGCGGCCAAACCAAAACATGGCAGCAATCCATGAAGTGATTGATGGACAAGTGGACTGAGCCATGTCGGTAGTTGTCGACTACCATTTTGGCGTCCACGAGATGATAATAATCGATGGTTAGAGACCCTGAACGACATGGCTCAAAACCATTTACAATGGCGCCGGTGCATTTATTCTTTGTGTTCTCTCAAATCCTAATCTTCTGGATTCTTCAGCCTCTCTAATTTTGACCTTCTAAACTTATCTCACTGAATCATACTTCTTGAATAATATCTTCTAATCCTAACCTCTCCGATTACTTCTTATACATTTACTACCTCTTCTGCTATTGGATTTAAATTGACAATTACATATCTCTGTGCTAATGTGGTATGGCAACATGAACTGATGTACTTACGTACAAAGTTCTACCTTGCATCTGACTGACTAACTGACTGTAAGAAACTTAACTCATCGTAGGAGTGTCTCGGGTGTGCTGTTTACGAGTATGATGGCGGATATCACTTCCCGGCTACCCATACATCGTGGAAGTGTATTTTTCTTAAGGAACCTCTACAGTCAACAGTACGACTTCACATTCAGACCTTGAGTTGCTAATTTTAGTCTAACCGTTTTCCAATCGACCTGCTTGGCATGGCAGGACTTCCAAAAACATAAGTTCCAGCCAATATAGCTCGGTTGGGTTTTCGTGATAGACAATCGCAACCACCATGTCAAGACAGCAGCTACAGTCGGGTATAGGAGTGTTACGTTGATGAACTATCTGCTCAATGAAACATATACAAGAATGTTATCTCGATTGAATTAAAATGGCCTATTTAGTTCAATTTTGAGATGCATGAGTCCGCGGTTGTGACTAAAAAGGTCTTCAGTTAGAGGTAAGAAGAATATTCGACCACTGAATAGGCTATCAGACGAGAGAGACAAAGAACATTAAACGACTGGAACACTATTCGATTTGTTGTTCATTCTTCTCATGTCTGTCACCAATGCTCGGCGTAATGTGTGTTTTGGTTTTACACTTTTCCTGTAGCCTTGAGGAATCTAAGTGAGGGGTTGTCTTGTAATTCAGTTGGACACTTTCGTTAGTGTATGTTCTATCCACTCCCAGAGCTTCTTCCTGAATTCATCCCCAGTTGTTCTCTGATTTGTTCTATCGGACATTAAGTTGTAGCTGACAGTGCGTAGATAACAGTTAATAAATACTTGTATCTTATAGATGATGACTTTCGTAGTTCTTCAAGTTTCGGCTCCATCAGTCAGTCAGTCATTCAGTCAGTTGCAACGTAGAACTTCGTACGTAAGTACATCAGTTCATGTTGCCATACCACATTAGCACAAAGACGCAAATGTCGAATCAAATACCATAGTGATAAAGATAGTAGAGGTATTAATAGTAATGAAGAAGACTAGGATTTGAAGATATTATTCAAGAAGTATAATTCAGTGAGATAAAGTTAGAAAAACAAAGGTAGGTGTGCTGACGAATCCAGAAGATTAGGATTTGAGAGAGCACAACGAATGGATGCACTTGCGCCATTGAAAACGATTTTGAGCCATGTCGTTGTTCAAGGTCTCTAACCATTGGTGATTTTCGTCTCGCGGACCCCAACCAGGTAGTCTACATCTACCAACATGACTCAGTCCACTAGTCAGCGACTTCATGCATTTCTACCATGTTTTGGTTTGGCCGCCCCTAGCTTTCTTCCAACCTATTCCTACACCACAAAACATAGCTTCCGCCCCATACAATAATTGTAAATGTTCATAATTCAAATGTATTTAGAAAATTACAATTAATACCCTAAATGATTAGTTTAGGGCAGAAAAATAGAATGCCGGGAGCAAATACGTTTAAGTTTAAAAATAATTTTGAAATAAAAACAGAAGATGACAACGAATCATCATACGATAACCGGTAGCTTAAAATTTAACCGGATACAATTAGGAACACTAATAAATCTGTACTATTGACATCATTTTTTAACGGTTTATTTAATACTTAACAGATATGATTTCTAACGAGTAAGTGGGGGTTTGATGAGACATGATGAAGTTGCTTAGTACAAAACTCCGAAAGATCTAACATAGAACATTAAGTAACTCTGTAGTAGTCTATACGTTATAAATTTATTTGCCTAGAATACCTGAAGATTCAAGGGCATAAACCTTTCCAGTTTTGGTAGGTGTCGACTACCTGGTTGTGGTTTGCGAGATGATAATAATCGATGGTTGGAGAATCTGAATGACATGGCTCAAAATCGTTTGCAATGGCACAGGTACATTCATTCTTTGTGTTCTCTCAAATCCTACTCTTCGGAGTTGCTCATCACCCCTACCTTTCACTTTCTAAACTTATCTCACTGAATTATACTTCTTCTTGAATAATATCTTCTAATCCTAACCTCTCCGTTCACTTCTAATACCTTTACTACCTCTACTACTATTGGATTTGAACTGACAGTTGAGTCTCTGCGCTAATGTGATATGGCAACATGAACTGATGTACTAACGTACGAAGTTCTACGTTGCATCTGACTGACTGTTTATAATAGAAGCTAGTCGTCGGACCGTCACTGCTACCTTGATGTAGTTGTCGGAGTTGGTTAACGTGTGATCACCCAACAGAGCTATATTGGCTGGAACATATGTTCCATGCCAGGTAGATCGATCGAAGAACCGTAAGAATAAAACCAGCAACTCAAGGTCTGAGGGCGAAGTCGTCAGTCAGTCAGTCAGATGCAACGTAGAACTTTGTACGTAAGTACATCAGTTCAGGTTGCCATGCCACATCGGCACAGAGAAGTAATTATCAATTCCAATCCAATAGTAGAAGAGGTAGTAAAGGTATTAGAAGCAATAGGAGAGGTTAGGATTAGAAGATATTATTCGAGAAGCATGAGTAAATGAGAAAAGTTTAGAAAGTCAAAACTAGAGGGTTTGAAGAATCCAGAAGATTAGGGTTTGAGAGAACACAAAGAATAAATGCACCGGCGCCATTGCGAACGATTTTGAGCCATGTCATTCAGGGTCTCTAACCATCGATCTCGCGGACCCCAACCAGGTAGTCGACAATTACCGACATGGCTCAGTCCACTTGTCGATGACTTCATGCATTTCTACCATGTTTTGGTCTGGCCGCCCCTAACTTTCTTCCAACCTACTCCTACACTACAAAATAAAGCTCTTCGAGGCAGTCGGTGGTTCGGCATACGCAACACATGTCCCAACAACCTCAACTGATGAAGTTTCACCACTGCATCGATTGATCTGCCATCCTTACCTAGTACTCGTTTCCTAACGACAGCACTGCTTACTCGGTTGTCCTACGGTACACGAGCAATGCTTCGAAGACACCTATGATCGAAAACAACTAACCTACGAATATCTTCTACTTCACTGGCCATGTTTCACAGCCATATAGGAGAACGGGGCGAACTGCTGCACAGTACACTCGTCCTTCGATTAGAGAACGGATATCACGCCTACGCCATAAGTGACGCAGGTTGGCAAAAGCCAATCGAGCCTTCTGTATCCGAGCTGAGATTTTGTCAGTCACCAGGCCATCGGCACTGATGAGACTCCCAAGATAAGTGAAGCGGTCTACACGTTCGACTACTTCACTCCCTATCACTAGTGCAGGTGCCGATGCAACCCAGTCTTGAAACAACATTTTGCATTTCGAGGGGGAAAACCGCATTCCGAACATGCTTGCATTGTTGCTCAGGGTAGTCAGAAGACGCTGCATTTTGTCAGAGTCTTCACCAAGTAGGACTATGTCATCGGTATATTCTAAGTCAATAGGCGAGCCACTTGGTAGAAGGTCTACTCCTGAAAATTCAGACGACGATAAGGTTATTTCTAGGAGCATGTCTATGATAAACTTAAACAAGAATGGAGAGAGTGGACATCCCTGACGGACACCACTTGAGGTAAAGAATTCCGGTGACAGTTCGCCATAAGCCCTCACTCGACCAGTGGTGTTCGAGTAGAGTGCTTGTACACGGTTAATGTACTTCTTTGGTACACCTTTCAATGACAGACACTGCCACAGAACATCACGATCCACTGAGTCAAATGCCGCCTTAAGGTCTAGGAAAACAACTATTGTAGGACGCCTAAATGTGTGTCTATGTTCCAGGACCTGTCTGAGTGTGAAGACGTGGTCTATACAGCCACGTCCAGGTCGAAAACCAGATTGGTTTTCTCGAGTCTGCTCTTCACGAGCTTTCGTTATGCGTCGAAGTATTATTGAGGCCAATATTTTAGATACTATATTAGTTAGACTTATTCCCCTGTGATTGTCACAAGAAGACTTTTGTCCTTTCTTATAGATTGGGACAATCAAGGGCGAAGTCGTACTATTGATAGACTTCAGAGACGTGAGAGATCAATAAGTTCTTTACCTCGGATAACCAGTATCTGCATCGAAGCTACCTTTTTCTCACAAGGAAGGAAGGGGTTCGAAAAGGTCGACCTTAAAAATGTCACACCTCACCTTATTCCACGGATTTCTGTCTTCGGTGGTAGGGCAATTCGAAGAGCGGAGCTTACACTTAACAAACTGCCCATGAAAAGGCTCTTTTGAACCATATCATGTCGGACCCCAACGTGGTAGTCTACACGTACTAACATGACTTAGTTCACTTGTCAGTGACTTCATGATTTTGTGCCATGTTTTGGTCTGGGCTGCTCCTAGCCTACCCCTACAGCGGGCATCATCGTTCGCCAAAGCAGTCGGTGGGTTGAGCTATGCTCATAACAAATTCTTTAATTCTGTGACAATTTTCCCGATTAAATTCAATGTAATCAAGTTTTTTTTTCAACTCGACAGTATTGAGAGAAAAGAAAGGAAACGTACACAAGTACAAATCACATCAAACTTACTCTAAGTAGCTCAGTCAATTCTTGAAGTCGAGCAATCGCAGAACTAATTACAAATGTATCATTGAGATATTCATTAACCTTAACAGAAAACAACAAAAAAATATGAGACAAAATGTTAAGGGGGTATTTACACTTGTTTTGAAAAATTGATATCGTCAAGAAAAATTGAGCAACATTAAAAATTTGAATAGTATTGACGGGATGGTTTGTATTGATGTGAAACACTTCAATAGTGTCTAGAGATGCCTTGGTACGGTTGAAAGGTAGGGGGAGTATGATCTCTCTGTCTCTCACACACACATACACACACACAAAATACTTTCACATGCACAAGCATGTGTCATCACTGACAGGGGAGGCCAACTTATTGGCTTTTCCTTGCTGAGATGTTATATTTTCAGTGGAAACTTAGTACTGGGGTTGATGAGTACAGGGAATTCACCGAGGCGAGTTGTAGTAGTACATGGGCTCTAGGATTGTGATGAAACACATGGCGTATGAACCTGGTGTTGTGCTGACCAGTTGCCGTTGTCTTGTAGATTAGACTAGTACATTGAAGACCTGGGTATTAGCCCTTTATAAAAACCGTCTGTTTCGGTCTGGGCACCTATTTAAGTGCTTCCTTATATTAATAATCGTGTTTGAATATTAAATTTAAAAACCACGATCCAATCAGTGATCAACAGCTTAAAACTTTCATTCTGAATGACAAAAACTACTCTTCAGTGCTTGTCGGTTTACAGTGAGTAATTGATCAAAGTCAGTTTGTGACTTATGAAAAAAACCTTAACAAAATACAACAATCTGTACAGATTCTTACAGTTTATTTATTAGTTAAAAGGAAAAATGTACGAAAAAGTTATTGCAAACAATTTTGAGCCATGATGTCATTCAAGGTCTCTAACCATCAGTTACTGATGTTTCACGGATCCCTACCTGGTAGTCTACATCTACTAACATGGCTCAGTCCAGTTATCTATGACTTAAGTGTTTTGTGTCATGTTTTGGTTTGGCCAGCCCTAGCTTTGTTCTAGTCTACCCTCCTTAATCACAAAACGTTTATCGTCCAGGAATTAGGCGGTTAGGCATACGTAACACACATTCCAACCAGGGGAGAGTCATTACATACGCCAGTCAACGACTAGACAAGAGCGAAACAAGGTATTCCACAACACGACGAGAAATGCTAGTAGCATTAGTAAAATTCTTACAGCACTTCCGTCATAATCTACTTGGTAGACCTTTTCGTGTGCGCAAGGACCACCGTGCATTGTCTCCAACATCTCAAAATGATACAAGTTTAGAAAGTCAAAACTAGAGGTGTTGAAGAATTCAGAAGATTAGGATTTGAGAGAATACAAAGAATAAATGCACCGGCGCCATTGCAAACGGTTTTGAGCTATGTCATTCAAGGTCTCTAACCATCGATTATTATCATCTCGCGGACCCCAACCAGGTAGTCGACAACTGCAGGGGGGTGTGACAGCAGTAACGTGTTTCCCTCGGACAACCAGCATCTGCAGCGATGCTGCCTTCTCACAAGGAAGGAAGTGTTAGAAGAGGTTGACCCTAAAAATGTCACACCTCAACCTACCTCACGGATTTCCGTCTCCGTCGGTAAGGACTGCCCACTTAAGGCTTTTAAAAAGACCGGAGCTATAGTATTTCAACTCGTTTTTTTTAAATTTTAACAGGGTTTTTTAAAATAACCAAAAAATTTCTTAAAATTTTCACAGCGTTTTTTAAAATTTTTTGTAATCCTTAGAATGTCAGAAATAAATAGAAAAAACAACTTGATTTCGAATGAGAAAAGAAAAAACCTTATAAAAAAAGTTATTGAAGATGGATACAGCGTCTAGGATGCGGCATTTGTTACAGATGTAAACTATCAGTCCGCTACAAATATTATAAGGTTGTATATATAAAAAGGAATCGCGAGTTGAGAAGAAAAAAACAGGAAAACCATCAAATAAGAAGATATGCGGTGATATTATCAATTTTGTTGAAGAATTGATAGAATTAAACCCGTTAATAACGATGGTAGAAATTCGAGAAAAAATAAAAAACATATTTTCTATAGGCCTTTCTCTTGAATCTATAAGAAGGATAATTTATAGACTTCAGATTACTTTGAAAAAGATTTCTTATACATCGGTCAATATAAATTGGGAATCCAGTAAAAAGAAACGCCAAATTTATGCTCAAAATTTAATGAACATTGAAGATACATTTATAAAAGTTTTTATAGATTAATCTTCTTTTAATTTGTACTTAAGAAGAAGATCTACAAGAGGAAAACCGGCAAGTGCCCTAGTTCCATCAAAGCGTGGAACCAATATAAGTTTAATATCGGCTATAACAGAAAATGAAGTTCTCTTTGCTAAAACATTTGTTGATTCGGTGAATTCAGATAAGTTCATTCAGTTTTTTGGTCATTTTAAAAAACGCTGTGAAAATTTTAAAAAATTTTTTGGTTATTTTAAAAAACCCTGTTAAAAGTTGAAGTACTATAATACTCAAAAAACCTTTCATAAAAAGGCCGTGCGTGACCGGCCTCAAGCAGTTGTCCCTTGGGCTCTGTAGTCACGCTTTCAGGTCGTTAAGACCAACACTAATCTACTTTTCTTTTCGGGTTCCTCAAGAAACACCGACAGTGTAAGCAGCTGGGAAGTGATAACCGCCCTCATACCCGTCACGATCAAATCCTTTCTACACCTATTAATATGTTTCTTCTCTCCACGACTAACTCTACTCACTTTCCTTTATCTCACTGCACCACTAATGGAAACGATGCAAGTTCACAAAAAATTATTCCTGGTCTCCTGAAACCCCATTCTAGACTACATGTTAGAGCATTCAATGTACGGACATAGTATCAAATAGGGCAACAGGCTTACTTAGCTAGGATATTAGAATCTCGCGCTATCGGTGTACGCTGCGTCTCGGAAACGCGCTTACAGGATCCTGATTTTGTGCATTGTGCTGTCTTTCTCCATTAATCGAATCAAAATTGAATCGAGTAGTAGCGCGTTCCAGTCACTTTAGTCATCTCTCCCTCATCCCAGGACCATCTAGTCATCATAACCAAACTCTAGCCACAAAGACACCACCAGGTAGACTTTTTTAACAACATTCTATCTTGTATCGCTTAATAAGCATGCAATGATTTAACAGCATTAAAACAAATAAACATTGACAATTGATCAGAATAGAATGAATATTTATTTAATAAAATAAACTTTTACCCGTTCTATAATTGATTGATGATATTTTGGAAAATTAGGTAAATGCATCAATAATGGATCGTGGAGGTTACATTTTAATTCAAATGATAAATTAGAATTTTGTGAATATTCAATCAATTGTTCAATTAAACGATTCATTTTATTCAACCAATTTTGAACACCTTGAATAACTAAAAATAATAAAGGAAAGTAAAGAAATTGTTGTTATAATTGTCAGATTAGATTATTATTATTATGGTAGGTATGATTGTCAGTAGTAGTTAAGGTTGTAGAAGTGCGCTACTGACAGGGTGTAGTGAGCCGTTTTACTGTGTGTTCTTATGCTTGATGATTAGCTCGTCTAGACAATTGTTAATAAATAGCGTCTGACGGTTTATAAATCAGAAGGTGAACTCGTAGTGTTGAATATGTTTATTTGGGGGACACACTACAAAGCGAAGTGGAGAAGCAATGTGGAGAAGGCTAATGAACCAACTCCTAGGATTACAACGCGAACGAATGGGCGAAGGGAGTGAATGAATAGACGAAGAGCGATAGAGAAGGCTAATGAGCCAACTCAAAGAGATAGAGTCAGATAGATATAAGACAGACATGCGACGAGCGAAATAGGCATGCACACACATGAATAAAAGCGACGAATGAGTGACAAGGTCAAATGACAAGTGGGACATGTCATGTGAGCTCCTCATACAAACCAGACAATAATAAGAACGAATGGTACATATAAATGGTTGCAATACAAATTATGGCTTGGTTAAATAAATTAATCGAAAGGGCTTAACCAAGTTAGATGTAAGCGAACTGGAGGCACTACAAAGGTTACCCTGGTACGCTTAAGATTGAGCACAGTGCACTTCTCAAAACACTCTCATATGGCCATCTGTATAAAAAGCCACCACAAGGGAATCATACTCTATGCGTTCTCATAGTGAGTGTGTTGGTAACGAAATAAAGAGGATGAAAACATGATATCCGATGGAGGTTTAGACTGGGTTGATGGGGTACAGAGAACCCACCGAGAGGAGTAGAATAGCCATCATTCCAAGAAAATGAAGAAAATAGACTCTAGCAACCTGATGGACTGAATGGAAAATAAACCTAGTGTTGGTCACCGACTACCACCATGGACCCGTACAACTAAAATCGTTTTACTACCTTGTGCTTACTACATCTGTACAGTAAAGGCTCAAGGACTAACCTAAGAAAGATGAACCACCTGTTTTGATTTGCACACCCAGGCAGTATACTATCCCACACATTATTTCCGATAATTTATGTGTTACATATATATTTAGATGCGCCTGTGAACAATTCCGCCTGGAGCTCTTCAGGGATTACTGTCGGTCCCAAGCCCAGATGAAGGAGGAGGGTCTGGCACGGAGTTATTGATCCCATCATAAATAAACCCAACTTGCTAATAAACGCTAACCAGCAAAATAATTCGCTGGTCGGCAGCCTATACTTCACTAGGGTTAAAAGGAGTAAGTAAATAAATAAGCCCCTATGTATCAAAGTTTATATATCTAAATAAATAATATAAATAAACTGTCTCATTACAAAGACGAAAACAGTTATTCTAACTAATGTAAGAAGCTTGAATAACTGAATTTCAAAACAAAAGGTTATGAATAATAAAAATGTTTGATATCATATGCAACTGTAAGTCTATCTCTCCCCACAGTTACACAAATTCGCCTCCCAATTGTCATTTTTTGTGTATATTACACTTTACTACTTAGTATTACATAGTAGTTTAAGTACGTTTTGAACAATATAGCTCCCAGGGTTTGTAAATTCAACTGTGATATTTTGGTTCATTTACTCTGCTTCGAACAGTATTCCATTCTCCCTCTATCTTCAGTTTTTCATATGACTTCATCGTTTGAGGTTATAATTACTTTGAACAGCTGGTTTGGGCAAAAGTTGTTTTTTTCAGTTAGAGCTTTGGAGATTTGTGTTTTTACACATTTGAAATCATCAATCAATCATTGTTAGACTACCATTAGAAACCTGGAAGCACTGGACGGCCATTTCGTCCTGATATGAGACTCAACACCAGTGCGTATCCACGACTCCTGCATCTCGCAGGACTCGAACCCAGGACCTTCAGCATTGTGCGCGAACGCCTAAACATCGTACCACTGGGCCAGCACCCAACGGTGTTAATGTCTAACTCTGATTGATCTAGGGATTTTGCGCGACCTCACCTATTTGTCTTTGGTAGTTACTGCCTACACCCGACAGGGTTGAACTCCATTGGTAACGTCTTCTCACTAGAACTCCGAGACTTTCGTCACGAAGCTAGTCACCACTAGTGAGCACATATTACGATATTTTCAGTTATAGCTTTGGAGATTTGTGTTTTCACACATTTTAAATCATCAGTCAATGATTGTTCGAATCCTGTGAGGTGCAGGAGTCGTGGATGCGCACTGCTTGCTGAGGAGTCCCATACCAGGACGAAACAGCTGTCCAGTGCTTCCAGGTTTCTAATGGTAGTCTAACAATGATTGATTGATGATTTCAAAAGTTGTTTTCTCGCGACGGGTACACTAAGAATGCACAAACTATACAGAATATTGCTTGAAGAGTATATTTCACATAATCGTATTACGAAATCATCAGATGAGCAGTAACTTTTAAAAACATACACCAACAATTAAAAAGTGTCATATTTCGCTACTCTCCAGCAACCATGCTCTAAACTTCATGTTACAGCTTCTAATGTCTGGACCGTATACCAAACAGGAGGAAAACAGGCTTCCTTAGCTAGGACTTTAGAATCTCAAGACATCGATGAATGCTGCGTCTTCGAAACGTGCACATACACACAGGTTCGAATAGCGTCATTCATTCGACTTTATTTTGTCCAGATAAATAACCAACTCGGTTTACAAGTTCCATGTAACTGGATGCCCTGATCCTGCTTTCCGTAGCCTCATTGGTGCAGAGTATTCCATGCGCCACAATCGAATAGTGTTACATTTGACGCAATTATTTCCTCTTAAACTAGAATTGACATACAAACGCAACTGAAAGCCGTAATTAACAAAACGCACACACATATATATCTGTATAACTCTTACCATCTTGTTCAGACCATTTTCTTGATCGATGTGGTCCAACATTAGTTAACATTGTGATACGTATTGTATCTAAACCATATTTTTCAATTAATTCCGTTGGATCAATTCCATTCAATTTAGATTTGCTCATTTTATCCCAATACATTTGTACTTGTGTTTGAGTGCCAATTTCATAATATTCAACTTTGTACAAAAAAAAACGTTAGATGAATGTTAAGTTAGATGAGAGATCAAAGTAGAATATAGAAATGATCAGTATTGTGATGGTTGTGTGTGAAGATTGTTGAATTCCATGGAAATTGTACACTGATCACTGTTAGACCAACACCATTTAGATACTTGGAAGCATTAGATTGCTGTTTCATCTTAGTATTAGTATTTCCCGACCGAAGCTGCTACCTTGACGTGGTGGTCGGGCTTTCCTATCGTCATGACCCAACCGAGCTATATTGGCTGGAACTCATGTTCCTGAAGCTTCTACCATGCCAGGCAGGTCGATTGGAGAGCGATGAGACTAAAATCAGCTACTCAAGGTCTGAGAACGAAGTCGTACTGCTGAATGTGATGGAGGGGTGTGACAGCAGTAAGGTGTTTCCCTCGGACAACCAGCATCTGCAGCGATGCTGCCTTCTCACAAGGAAGGAAGGGTTAGAAAAGGTCGACCCTAAAAATGTCACACCTCACCCTACCTCACGGATTTCCGTTTCCGTCAGTAAGGGTGCATGCCCACTAAGGGTTTCTAAGAGCGGAGCTAACACTCAAAAATCCTTTCATAAAAAGGCCGTAAGTGACCGACCTCAAGCAGTTGTCCCTTGGTCTCTGCGGTCACGCTCCAAGGTCTCCAAGACCAACACTATTCTATCTTCCTTTTCAGGTCCCTCAAGAAACAACCTTCCACGGTGTGGGCAGCCGGGAAGTGATAACCGCCCTCATATCCGTAACAGCACACGAGACCAAACTGTTCAAAATTAGTCAGTCAGTCAGCTAGGAAAGATTTTTTTATGACCGATTGGGTCTCGTGTGCTGTTACCGGTATGAGAGTGGATATCGTTTTCCGGTTGCCCACACTATGGAAGAGTATTTCTTGATGAGCCTAAAAATGAAATTGCATTAGCAAAACTCTTAGAGGCCTGAAAGCGTGACCAAAGAGCCCAAAGTACAACGGCATCAGGTCGGTAAGGAAATGAGTAAGTAAATAGATTACTCTAGTTTGAAGAAGTCTTAGTTTAAAACTCAGGACAAAACAGTAATTGTTCAGTACTATCTCAAAGTTTCAATAATACATACTGGTCAGTGTTAATTGAAGATAATGTAACCAAACTAGCAGAACAGACGAACTGTGGCCTAGAACACAATCGAATCTACAAGACACGTTTTATCAGATCTGGAACAAGTCAACAAGATGTAGCCCAACCACCACTAACTGCCTCGACGAGCCATGTTCTGTGGTGTAGATTGGCAGAAGGATAGGGGCAGCCAAACTAAAATGTGGCACAAATCCATAAAGACACTGATAAATGGACTGAAGTCATGTTGGCAAGTGTAGACTACCTTGGTTGGAGTTCGTAACACAATAGTAACCGACAATTAGAGACCTTGAACTATATGGCATAAAATCGTTTGCAAGGGCGCAGGTGCATTCACCTTTTGTCTTCTATCAAATTCTAATCTTCTGAATTTCGCATCACCTTCATCTTTCTCTTCTCAAATTTATATCACTTGAATAATTCTTTCGAACCTTAATCTCTCCGATTACTGCTAATACTTCTACTACCTCTGCTACCAAGGGATTTGAATTGACAATACAATCTCTCTGTGCGTTGGTGGGGTATGATGAGTTGAACTGATGTACGTACGTACAAATTTCTACGTTGTAGCTAACTGACTGACTAAATAAGATGTAAGTGTATTCAACTGTTGATATATTCACATATACCTCAAGCCTAGTACTTGTTGTCTCTTCTCAAACATCAACGTTTTATTCACTAAACCATTGAGTCCAGAAAATCATTCAATCGGTAGAGGGGTGGTTGAAGTCATAAACAGTAAGGAATTGAATTATTTACTTCCCGATAGTCTTGACTGGATTTCAATCATCTTTTATCAAGTATCCTAAGTGAATTGCCTTAATATAACTATCCTACATACATTCACACGCTCATCAGCGCTGATAGCCTGGTGACTGACGAAATCTCAGCACGGGTACCGAAAGCTCGACTGGCTTTCACCAATTTACGCCGTTTATGGCGTAGGCGAGATATCCCATTCGCTAACCAAAGGACGAGTGTACTGCGCAACAGTTCGCTCCGTTCTCCTATATGGATGCGAAACATGGCCGTTAAGAGTAGTAGATGTTCGTAGATTTGCAATGGCGCAAGTACATCCGTTCGTTGTGCTCTCTCAAATCCTAATCTTATGGATTCGTCAACACCTCTACCTTTGTCTTACTAACCTTATCTCACTAAATTATACTTCCTGTACTGCTGACTGTGGGTGGGTGTGAGAGCGGTAAGGTTTTTCTATCGGACAACCAGCATCTGCAGCGATGCTTCCTCCTCACAAATAAGGAAGGGTTAGAAAAGGTCGACCTTAAAAATGTCACACGTCATGGATTTCCGTCTCCGGCGGTAAAGGCTGCCCACTAAGGGCCTTAAAAGAATGGAGCTAACACTCAAAATACTTTTCATAAAAAGGCCGTGCGTGACCGGCCTCAAGCAACTGTCGCTAGGGCTCTGTGGTCACGCTTCCAGGTCTCGAAGACCGACACTAATCTACCTTTCTTTTCAGGTTCCTCAAGAAACACACTTCCACGGTGTGGGCAAACGGGAAGTGACATCCGCCCTCATACCCGTAACAGCACAAGAGACCTAATCGGTCACAAATAGATTCTTCCTACACTCCCTAACATTTCCCACAAAACCAGGGCTGACTGACTCTAAGGGACTATCGATAAGTACCGATGGATGGTTATCAATCAGTTTAACTTGTATGATACTAATGAGTCCGTAATACATAACAGTGATTCATTTGTGCCTTCAATGATATTTATTCCTTAAGGGTTTCAAGTTCCCTAATTCGCACACTGGACTGGATAATCTTCTCTGTTCAACAGACTCTTAGTTTTGTGCAATTGATTTTTGTTTCTATGTTCAGTTATTGAACACGAACATAAGTTAAGTGAGGTGTAGACAGACCAAAACATGGCACAAATCCATGAGGTCGCTGACAAACCGGACTGAGCGATGTTGGTAAGTGTAGACTACTTGGTTGTGGTCCGCGAGACAATAGTAACCGGCCGTTAAAGACCTTGAATGAAATGGCTGAAAATTGTTTGCAATGACGCAAATACACCCATTCTTTGTGTTCTATCAAGTCCTAATCCTAATTCCTCACCACCTTCATATTTCTCTGGATTATACTTCTTGAATAATTTTTTTGGGGCTCAGTATTTTCCATTAGTTCTAATACTTCTCTACATCTACCACTACGGGATTTGAATTGACAATTACATCTAAATGTGCAAATGTGGTATGGCTACCTGAACTGATGTACTTACGTACGAAGTTCTATGTTGCATCTGACTGAGTGAGTGTGTGAGTGAGAGAGTGACTGAGTGAGTGAATGAGTGAGTAAGTGAGTGAGTGAGAGAGTGACTGAGTGAGTGAGTAAGTAAATAAGTGAATGAATGAGAGAGAGGGATACACACACATACAAGACAATAATTCACCTTTTTTATCCAATGTATATTTTGTTTCAACACATTGTGTTGGAATAAAACGACCAGTCATTGGATCAATATACGTTTTACCCAATACTAAACCAACAGGAAGAAAACGTTTAAATGGTTCTCTACACGGTAATACATTGATATCATGCAAGAAATGTGCAATAAAACGTGCATAATACAAATGACGAACAGCTATAAAAAAAAGTAGAAAAGTAGAAAAGTAGACACAAATATTATTATTATTATTGATCATTGGGAATGTCTATAATGAGGAAGATAGAGAAAAAATGCTGATGAACAACACGTATTAGAGCTGTGAATAATCAAACATGATTTGATAATATTTCTAATGATTATGATGCTTAACCGCAGTAAAATGTCAATCTACACAACATAACACGATATGCAATAAACTATCTAGCATTTTCGATTTTACGCATACTTACTTACTTACTTACTTACGCCTGTTACCCACAATGGAGCATAGGCCGCCCACCAGTTTTCTCCAAACAACTCTGTCCTGGGCTTCCCTCTCCAGTTCTGTCCAATGTTTGTTCATCGCCCTCATATCTTTCTCAATTTCTCGGCGTAATGTATTCTTTGGCCTTCCTCTTTTCCTTTTGCATTGAGGGTTCCATGTGAGGGCTTGTCTTGTGACGCAGTTAGGTGCTTTCCGCAATGTGTGTCCTATACACTTCCATCGCTTCTTCCTCATTTCCTCCTCCACTCAAAGAATCTGGTTTGTTCTCTCCCACAGTTCGTTGTTGCTGATGGTGTCTGGCCAACGAATCCGAAGTATTTTGTGTAGACAACTGTTAATAAACACTTGTATCTTCTGGATGATGCCTTTCATAGTTCTTCAAGTTTCCGCTCCATACAGTAGAACTGTCTTCACATTTGTATTGAAAATCCTGATTTTGGTTTCGGTTAAAAGTTGTTTAGAATTCCAGATATATTTCAATTGTAGCAATGCAACCCTTGCTTTGCCAATCCGCGCCCCCATATCTGCATCGGATCCACCTCTCTCATCGATGATGCTGCCCAGATATGTAAAGGTGTTAACGTCCTACAAGGCATCCCCATCAAGAGTGATTTGGTTGGTGCATGTTGTGTTGCATCGGAGAATTTTGCTTTATCCTTTATGTATGTTGAGACCTACTGCTGCAGAGGCTGCTGCTACACTGGTCGTCTTCTCTTGCATTTGCTGTTGAGTGTGCGATAGAAGAGTCAGGTCGTCTTCGAAGTCCAAGTCGTCTAGCTGCGTCCTAACTGTCCAGTTGATACCGTGCTTCCCTCCAGACGTCGACGTCTTCATAATCCAGTCGATGACCAGGAGAAAGAGAAAGGGTGAGAGTAAGCAACCTTGCCTCACACCGGTCTTCACCTCAAAAGAGTCTGTTAGCTGTCCTCCGTGTACGATTTTGCAGTTGAATCCATCATAAGAATTCCGTATGATGTTAACTATTTTCTCAGACACACCGTAGTGTCGAAGAAGCCTCCACAGTGTTTTCCTATCCATGCTATCGAATGCTTTCTCGTAGTCGATGAAGTTGATGTACAGTGGCGAGTTCCATTCAATTGATTGTTCCACAATGATCCGTAATGTAGCAATTTGGTCAGTACACGATCGATCCTTACGAAATACAGCCTGTTGGTCTGGTAGTTGGGCGTCTACGAAGTCCTTCATTCTGTTTAACAATACTCTGTTGAAGACTTTGCCTGGTATTGAGAGAAGAGTGATGCCTCTGTAGTTCTCAAAATTGCTAAGATCGCCTTTCTTTGTTATTTTGATCAAGTATCCTTCTTTCCAATCTGATAGTACTTGTTCCTCATCCTAAATCTTCTTGAAGAGGATGTGAAATATTTTCGCTTCCACATCTGCTTTCATTTAATATGCCACCGGCTCAGTGGTCTAGAAGTTAAACATCCGGGCCCCAGACTGAAGAAACTGAGTTCGATTCCTGCAAGCGATGGTCATGTTCCGGCGGCACTGCTAATGAATCTCAGACTAGGACGAAACGACCGTTTAGTAGTTATGGGTTTCCAATGGTGGTCTAACAATGATCTCAGTCTTGAAATGTTATATCTGATTGATCCAGCCAATTAGTCAGTTGTGATCAAAATATGACAGCGATTAAACCACAGACTATGAAAGTGGATGATGAACTTTGGATTCCGTATGTAACATTAGTTGCTTGCTGAAAAATGACAACTAGTATAAAACCTAGATTCATAGTTTCCTAGGGGGGACCTAAAAATTAATGCGCTTGTAAGTGGATGGGGATACTGTCTAGGTGGTTTTCTTAGAAGACCAAACATCGAGCCTATGACCGCAGTGGAGAAACGTAAGTAGGTGCAATCTCATGATAGCAAATTACCGACAGTAGGTTCGTAAGCCACTAGTTTTGTCAACCTCTTGGAGCCCATGTGCACCACCGGTTAGGATACTGGTTTTCGATCATAGATGTCTGAGAAGCATTGCTCGTATATTGTGGGACAACCGAGTGAGCAACGCTGTTATTAGGAATCCGGTGCTAGGTGAGAATGGCAGATCAATAGATGAAGTATTGGGACTTCATCAGTTGAGGTGGTTGTGACATGTGTTTCGTATGCCTAACCACCAACTGCCTCGACGAGCTTTGTTTTGTAGTGTAGGAGTAGGTTGGAAGAAAGTTACGGGTGGCCAAACCAAAACATGGCAGAAATCTATGAAGACATTGACAAGTGGACTGAGTCATGTCGGTAGTTGTCGACTACCTGGTTGGGGTCCGCGAGACGATAGTCACCAATGGTTAGAAACCTTGAATGACATGGCTCAAAATCGTTTGCTATGGAGCAAGTACATCCATTCGTTTTGCTCTCTCAAATCCTAATCTTCTGGATTCTTCAACCCCTTTAGTTTTGTCTTTCTAAACTTATCTCACTGAATCATATTGCTTGAATAATATCTTCTAATCCTAACCTCTCCCATTACTTCTAATACCTTTACTACCTCTTCTACTAATATTGGATTTGAATTGACAATGGCGTCTCATTGCTGATGTGGTATGGCAACATGAACTGATGTACTTACGTACGAAGTTCTACGTTGCATCTGACTGACTGACTGCACCACTGGTTAGGGTTAGGGCTCTCCAACTCCCCTAGATGAATCCTCCATACTCATCAATCCGGTTAAAGTGCCGGATACTGGCATTCTTCTTCTACTTCTCAATTTCATAAACAACACCCCTGCTGCATGAGAAGACAGTGAGTAGGGTTTCCCTGTCAGTGGCTATATAATATATAATACGCATGACCATAGGAGAGCATTTTGAACGAGAGAGAGAGTGAACTACCTCCCCACCCCCAATCTCCCTAGCCGTAACAAACTATCTGCGGTTGGGGATGGATTGATGGTGGAAATGACATACAAAAATTCTTACCATGTTCTGCGCCACCAATGTATATATCCACAGGTAAACTATTCACTGCTTTGTTCCAATCACATATGGATTGAGTATTTTTCGAATCTAAATATCTTAAATAATACCATGAAGAATCAACAAATGTGTCGAGTGTATCAGTTTCACGATTCGCTGGATTACCACATCTAAAATGTTTTACGAAAAAAAAATTACACACATTCATACATCGGAATAAGTGAATTCATCTGCATTGAGAAAGCATGATATTAGTTTAGCTGTAAAAAAAATTTGCTGGCCCAGTGATTCAGAGGTTAGGCGTTCACTCGCAAGACCGAAGGTCCTGGGTTCAAATCCTGCGAAGTGCAGGAGTCGTGGATGCGCACTGCCACTGATGAGTCCCATACACGGACGAAACAGCCGTCCAGTGCTTCCACGTTTCGAATGGTGGTCTAAGAATGATTGATTGATGGTTTCAAATGTGTAAAAACACTAATCTCTATAACTATAATTGAAAATAAAGTAGATCTCGTGTATTGTTACAGTTATGAGGATTGCCTACACTATGGAAGCGTATTTTTCTTGAGGAACCTAAAAAGTAAATTTGATTAGTGTTGGTCTTAACGACTTGAGAGAGTGACTGCAGACTTTAACGACTAAAACGCTCGAGGTTGGTTATGTAAATGTATTAATTAATTTAATTACACCTATAACCCCCCCTCCCAAATGAAGCATAGGCCATCGACCGGAATTCTCCAACCCACTCTGTCCCGGGGCTTCCTTTTCCAGTTCTGTCCAGTTTCGGTTCATTCTTGTCATATCTTTCTCTATTTCTCGGCGTAATGTGTTCCTTAGCCTTCCTCTTTTCCTTTGACCTTGAGGGTCCCAAGTGAGGACTTGTCTTGAGACGCAGTTGATTACTTTCTTCAATGTATGCTCCATCCACTTTGAGCGTTTCCTCCTTATAGTGTCTGGCCAACGGATCCAAAATATTTTGCGTAGACAACTACTAAGAAACACTTGTATCCTCTGGATGATGGCTACAAGTTTCTGCCACATGAATTAAAACGTTTTCAACATTTGTATTGAAAATTGTGACCATCTTTAGAAATCTGAAAGCACTGGAAGGCTATTTCGTCTTAATATAAGGCTCATTAACGACAGGCATCCATTTCAGATGGGAATCGAACCCAGGACCTTAGATCTTGTAGTATTATGTACTAACATGTCGAGGGAACATGACTTGTCCCCCCAACCTTTGTATAAAATAATTTATCGATTCTTTTCCAGTTATTTACACATTTTTCAACCTTGTCAATTATTCACTAATAACCCTGACTGTTTTCACTTGAAAGCGTGTGTACATTGTTTGCTTTGCTTATCACAAGTCTAGCGTATTGTTTTCTGACTATAAATACTTAGTCACGCCTCGTCATATTGAGTTGACTCAGTCGCCTTCTCTACTTCTCTTCGTTCTGGCTCTCCCAATTTTTTGTTTATCTACGTGATCGATTGCATGAAATAATCTCATTCAACTGATAACGCAATCACATAAAAACAGGCTTAGCGATTCAAGGCCACTAAATGCATACGCGTGAACGCTCAAACTATAGATCACTGTGTGGTGCTTTTATGGGTTCTGGTTGTCAAAAAGGGGATCGGCCTTAAGACTTCTGAAGGAACTTGGCTCTCATCATGAGACGTCATAATTCCTCTAAATGAAGACCTTCTAACTCCTAGAGCAGAGTTGATATAGTTTGAATTATTATTTCTTGTTAGCGTTTTTTTGGCAAGTTAGATTTTTCCGAGATGAGGGGTCGCCAACCCCAATCTTAACCATCCTCCTTTATCCGGGCTTGGGACCGGTAGTAGCCCCGGAAGGGTCTACAGGCGGAGTTATAGATCACTGAGTCAACATTCAATCGTGTTAATGTCTAGCTTTAATCAATCTGTGATCTTGAACAACCTTCATTTTTGATAAGTTGTTGATGGATGATTATCGGCCTTAGTTTAATTTCTATGATTAAAACATTTACTTACTTAGGACAAGTTGTTTTACGCCACGATTCATTATGTTTCAATGGTTCATCACCACGTTTTAATGAACTTTCTAATGGAGGTAAAAGTACAGGGAGTTGATCTTCCGGAACTGGTACTGCCTATACAAACAAAATGGAGAATATGAGAAGTTGCAATGAATGATAGGCTATGTGGATAGAGATTGCTGAATTTGATTAAAATTATGAGTCGATTAATATGATCTAACTCTATAATGACAATTATCATGTGTTTACTGGTTGCTAACTTTGTAAGAGAATTCACAGAGTTCTAGTGGGCAACTGACAGAAGGATTTGATTTTGACCAATTTGGTCTCTTGTGCTGTTACCGGTATGAGGGTGGTTGTCACTTCCTGGCTGCCCACACCGTAGAAGGTTGTTTCTTGAGGGACCTGGAAAGGAAGGTAGATTAGTATTGGCCTTAGAGACCTGGGAGCGTGACCGAAGAGTCCTAAGGGACAACTGCTTGAGGCCGGTCACGTACGACCATTTTATGAAAAGTTTTTTCAGTATTGGCTCCGCTCTTAAAAGCCCTTAGTGGGCACCGTGAGGTAGGATGAGGTGTGACATTTTTAGGGTCAACCTTTTCTAACCCTTCTTTCCTTGTCACAAGGCAGCATCGCTGCAGATGCTGGTTGTCCGAGAGAAACACCTTACTGCTGTTACACCCCTGCATTACAGTCAGTCAGCAGTACGAATTCGCCCTCAGACCTTGAGTAGCTGATTTTGGTCTCATCGTTCTCCAATCGACCTTCCTGACATGGTAGATCCTACAGGAACATATGTTTCAGCCAATATAGCTCGTTTGGGTCATGAAGTGCAAGGTAGAGGTTACGGTCGGGAGTGGGCAACTGTGATCAGTAGAGATCAACTGTGTCAGATGTGAGGTAGTTATCCGCCAAACACAATGGATGATGTCGTGCAATATCAGGCATTGAACGAAGTTACACCTTTACACCACCTGATGTCAGCGGGTTCAGTGGTCAATAGGTTAGGTTCTGAATTCAATTCCCACTCATGCGGTCGTTGATACACACACTGCGGATGAGTCCCATTCAAGAAGGGACGGCCTTCCAATACTAGCAAAATTCCATGTTAGTAGGTATAGGCTACCTAATTAGGGTTTGCATGCTTGTATTCTTTTCATCCTCATGTCTGCCCGACAAGAACGATTACCTGAAAGAAAAACTCATCCAGTCGAATCCTTATTTGGCTTGTTATTACCACCGTCGCATAGACGGGCTTCGTCTGAGTACGATCTACAGAAACTAAAGGGGAGATTTATATCATAGCTCGCGAGCCACTAAAGTACTGAGTTCAACTCTGAATCTTACACAGCCACTAAATAATCGTAACCGGGTGGTTAGAGACTTCAAATCACACAGCTCAAAATCGTTTGCAATGACGCTGATGCATCCATTTATTTATGTTCTCTCAAATCCTAATCCTCTGAATTCCTCATCACTTTTAGCTTTGGCTTTTTAAGTCTATGTTACTAGATTCTACTTCTTGAATAATATCCTTGAACTCGAATCTTTCCGATTACTGCTAATGCTTTTACTACCTCTACTACTATGGGATTTGAATTGACAATTGCATATCCCTGTGCTAATGTGGTATATACAACTTGAAAAGATGTACGTACATACGTACAAAGTTCTACATTGTAGCTGACTGACTGAAATGTGATTGTAACGATGTTGATGAAACACAGACAGAATTTTAAACTAAATAATACGTAACAATAATAATATCTAAATGCCTTACCCCACATAAATCACAATGAATAATTGGTATAGGTGTGCCCCAATAACGTTGTCTAGAAATTAACCAATCTGTACGATTATTATTACATCGATAACCACCACGTCCACTAATCTAAAAAGAACATTTAATACAAATTCTAAGTAATTATAAATACAATTATTTATTCAGCTAAGAAAAGTATATACAGGCTAAAATCAGTGAATATGAACTTGAGTGAATTTCTCCAACAGTGGCGTAGAGAATGTCACATTTAACATTTGTCTCTGATAGGTGGTGTATGTGAGCATAGGTAGGTGAAATGTACGAGGATCATTCAAATTGTTGCGTAAAATGAAAAGAAACACGTTCGAATAGTCAAGTAAGACGCATTAGATGCAAGATGGATAGAAAAGATTATTTTTATTAGGGCGGTGTGTTGTTTGTACACTGGTCAGGAGCAAAAATGTGCTTTGCATGCACACATGGTATGTAATCGACTATGAGTCATAGTTGGTTAAGTAATAGTGAAAGTAGAACTCAAACAGACAACTTACTAGACGAAAATTCACACTCATAACACTTTAGTCGGTAGCCTGAAGACCGGTATCAGACAATGCTGCTAATTCTTACCCTTTCTCGTTCTCCTGGTGATCGACTAGATTATGAAGACGTCAAAATCTCAAGGAAAAAACACGGAATGGAGCGAACAGCTGGGCTGCAACTGGATGATCTGGACTTTACAGACGATCTAGCTCTCCTATTGCACACAGAACAAAGAATGCAGAAGAAGATGGCCAGAGTAACAGCAACCTGTGAAGCAGTAGGTCTCAACATACACAAAAGAAGCAAGAACCTTAGATACAACACACTATGCACCGACCAAATTATACTTGACAGAGAAAGTTTGGAACATGTGGAAACCTTTACATATCTGGGTAGTATCATTCATAAGCAAGGTGGATCTGATATAGATGTGAAGGAGCAGATTGGCAGAACAAAGTCAGGCAGATCTTCAAGTGAAGAACATCTGCAACTCAAAACAACTACCAACCAACGCCAAAATCACACTTTTCAACACAAAAGTCAAGACAGGTCTACTGTACGGGGAGGAAACGTGGAGAACCATGAAAGCCATTATCTGGAAGATACAGCTGTTTATTAACGGTCGTCTACGAAAAAACACTGAGGGTCAGTTGGCCAGATGCCATCAGTATTAACTTACTGTAGAGTAAAGAATAAACCAGATTCCAGATGAGGACGAAGAGAAGGAAAACAAGGAACCCATTGAACTGAGAATTGGAACCAGGCATGAAAAGGATGAACAACAAACCACAGGGCAATGTTTAGAGAAAAAGTTGGATGGTAGTCGGTGATCGACAATACGTTCATAAGTTATTTGTTTCCTCATGATCTTGGGGCTGATATGTACTAGTGGTTTAGAATGAGGTGAACCCTCTGTGTCAATAAACTTGGTTTATTCCCTCGTCGGATATTCACTTTTCCTCCTCTCAGTTTCATAAACAACACTGAACTGTCTTAAACCTCGGCTGTACCAGGGTATTTTAGGGTCTTTTAATAACGATTATTTACTTGAGATTTATGAGCCTTATTTAATCGGTGAATTTGATCTAGTTGAGTAAAGTATTTTGTGTGATAAATTAGTTTGTTGGTTTGCTCAAAAGAATCTAACTTTCAAACAATTGACCATAGATTGGATTCCAATACTATTTAGTTTGAGCGACTATAAACAAATATCAGCCAATATCAAATTCAGAATTTCCAAAAAAAATTTCAAGACAGTAGTTCTACTGTATGGAGCGGAAACTTGGAAAACTATAAAAGCCATCATCCAGAAGATACAACTGTTTATTAACAGTTGTCTATGCAAAATACTTCCGATTTGTGGCCAGACACCACATCAGCAACAACCCAATGTGTGAGAGAACAAATCAGATTTCAGCGGAAGAGGAAATCGCAAAGGAGCGATGGAAGTCGATGGGACGCACATTGAGGAAAGTACCAAACAAGCCCTCAATTGGAACCATCAAGGTCAAAGGAAAAGAGGCGGATAAAGAAACACATTATGTCGAGAATAGAGAAAGGCATGAGAAGAATCAACAGAAACTGAACAGAACTGGAGAGGGAAGCTCGGGACAAATCAGGTTGGAAAGTACTGTTCGGCAGCCTATGCTCCATTGGGGGTAACAGGCAAAAGTCATTAAAGTAACCAAATAGTATTAATCATCAGATTTAATATAGACACACAATTTAATTTGAATCCTAATTCATAGTTGTATATTAAATAAGCAGAAAAATACGGTAAAGTTTAATTCTATAGTAAAGATTTTGACCTTTATAATAAATGACCTTGAGGGAAAATTCTTATCTCTTTTGCAGCCAATCAGAAAATAGAAAATACGAACCAATTGTTTTTCGAATTATTTATAACATATTTTTAAGTCTTTTTGCGAACATTTTTATCCAAAATCAAGTGCTGTTGTTTTTGTTAATTCTAGTTTGAACAAAAATGTAGAAAGAAATAAATCACTTCATCTCATGAAGATTTAGTTACATATGATTGAAGTTAGGATTCATAAAAATGAATGATTTTCCTAGTAATTCAATATTTTGCGATCGTCAATTTCCTGTTTTTGGGCATAATGTATATACATATATTTACCATGACCTTGAAATCCGTTGCTCAATCCTGATTGGTTTAAAAAAACAACAACCCTAATTAAAAAGTACAATCATTTCGTAAATTGCATTGCCGAAAAAGGAAAAAAGAAAAAGCTTGCTCAAATCTCTCTTAAAAATCCAATTTATTAATAACTAAATTAAAACAACCATTACTACAACCAATGACATTTTCATGTTCATTATTAATTCAAACTAATTGAGAAACAGAGAGAGAGAGTGAGAATCATCTACACTAATCAATAGTCCTTAATAAAAATCAATACCAGAATTTAAATCACTAGAGATGTAAACAGAGTATAAAGAGAAAAAGTGAGGAGACAGAAAATAAAGAGAGCAAAAAAGGGATAGAAAGTGGAAATAAAGGAAGAATTTGACAGGAAAAATAACAATGAAACTTAATTTAAGTAGTTAAAAATCAAAATGAGTACTATAATAAATTATGTGTGTAAAAAGGTTAAAAATTAGTAAATTTATGAATGATTGCTTATCACATCCTGAGACCTGAGCGGCCAAACCAAAACATGGCACAAATCCATGAAGTCACTGATAAATGGACAGAGTCATGTTGGTAGATGTAGACTACTTGGTTGGGGTCCGCGAGACGAAAGTCACCAATGGTTAGAGACCTTGAACGACATGGCTCAGAATCGTTTGCAATGGCGCAGATGCATCCACTGTTTGTGTTCTCTTTAATTCTAACCTTCTGAATTCCTCATCATCTCTATCTTTCTCCTTCCAAATTTATCTCACTGAATTATACTTTTCGAATCATATCATTGCTCCCTAATCTCCATTACTGCTAATAATTCTACTATCACTATCACTCTTGGATTTGAACTAACAGTTACGTCTCAGTGCTGACGTGGTATGGCAACCTGAACTGATGTACTTACGTACGAAGTTCTGCGTTTTGTCTGTCTGTCAGTCTAATGTTTTCACAACGCCCGCTCGTAGGAATCGAACCCAGAACCTTTTGTATCGCACGTGAATGATTAATCTCTAGACTACTAACCTTAAAGCATTAAACAATTCTGTTATGAAAGATGATATGTTGGGAATTTTAATCTTAGAATCCACTTAAATATGGAGATGATGAGGAGGGAAATTAGTACTTCAAGTGAATGATCATTATAGTGAGGTCTCATTCTCTAATCTGGATGGGGATTCAGGAGTTTTGCTAATAAATGTTAAAATTTAAGCCATTGTATATTTGTACTCATACTTTATAACGCAATGTATCAAGGATTGAGTCAAAATTTATACATATGGAATAAACTTGAGGAATTGCCTAATTTCAATTTGATTTCAAATTGCATAAAAAAATTTACTCACAAACTGTTAGGATATTCATCCAATATCCTAAGACAATTATTGGTCAAATCCTATTGATCGATTTCTATTGGTCAAAATTATGGTCGTTATAACTGTCAAAGTCAAATACTTCAATATTGTTTCTTATTGGTATTCCGGACTGTCAATGTCATTTCAAATGTTACTTCCTATTGGTCGTCTTAACTGTCAATGTCACAGAATTCGATTCTGTTTTCTATTCGACAAAAATGTATAAATACGCATGATCTGTAACGTTTATTGACCACAACCAGGACCAGGGCTCGGTCCCGGATCCCTAGTCCGGGATTCTGATTCTCTTCTGGACTCGGACCTCGTACTTTCTGGATGCTTGTAGAATACAGGTTCTACTTCAAATCATGTATTCTTATTTTAACTAAATATGGGGGTTGGAATAATCGGATTTGAGTAACATGTCATGTCACCGGATCCTCGATCTCGTTTCCGACTAGGTAAACTCGTAACAGTTCAAGTATATCAAGTTGACGTGTTTACGTGCAGGCGTAACACAAACTATTATGATGATTATTACTTAAAGCACATAATTTATTGGTACGAAAAAGCATCATATTGATCGTTGAAACTGTTCATGAGATAGGATACTATCCTGGTGCCTAAAAAAACGAACCAGATGGTTTCCTTAGAGGACCACTTCATGAGTTTTCAACTTACAGACCTAATCTACCGAAGTAATGAATGGAGCACAACATTAGGAGAGATGCCGTCTCATGATAGCCAATGATTAACAATGAGTTCATGCACCATTTATTTCCCCAACGGTCTAATATGCACCATTGGTTTGAAATCACAGTTTTCCAACTTTCCGAAAAATGGATCCTTCATACACATTGACCCAGCTGAAGCATTGAACATTTGGGTTTCATTCTTGAAAAACAATACTTCCATCAAGAGAAGGCAGAGAAGAGTAGAACTTCTTAGTCAATGACTATATAAGAATATTATAAGAGAGAGATATATATGGAGAGCGAACTTATAAAAAAAACCAAGATTCAAAATGATTTAACTTAGCTTACTTTTAAAATTTGCATAGCTTTATTTGTTGACTCCTCAACTGTTTTCCCATGAAGCTATTTGATTTTTATGAAAAAATGAAACAAGAAAAAAAAAAATAGGAACACACATTGATAATTTTCATATAAAAAAATTTGTACTTTTGATTTATTCGCATCAAAAATTACATTTAAATTTTATCTATTCAGTCGGTCAGTCAGTTGCAACGTAAGAACTTCGTACGTATGTACATAAGTTCATGTACCACATTATTAGCACAGAGACACAAATGTCAAATCAAATCTCATAGTGATAAAGATAGTGTAGAGGTATTAATGGTAATGAAGAAGAGTAGGGTTCGAAGAAATTGTTCAAGAAGTATAATTCAGTGAGATAAGGTTAGAAAGACAAAGGTAGGGGTGCTGACGAATCCAGAAGATTAGAATTTGAGATTACACAAAGAATAGATGCACCGGTGCCATTGCAAACGATTTTGAGCCATGTCGTTGTTCATGGTCTCTAACCATTGGTGACTATCGTCTAGCGGACCCCAATCAAGTAGTCTACATCTACCAACATGACTCAGTCCACTTATCAGTGACTTCATGGATTTCTGCCATGTTCTGGTCTGGCCACCCCAACCTTTCTTCCAACCTACTCCTACACCACAAAACATAGCTCGTCGAAGTAGTCGGTGGTTAGGTATTCGAAATACATGTCCCAACCACCTCAAGTGATGAAGTTTCATTACTTCATCTATTGATCTGCCATCCTTACCTAGCACCCGTTTCCTAACGACAGCATTGCTTACTCGGTTATTCCACGGTATACGAGCAATGCTTCTATTTGATTCTTTTGAATTATTCAATTGTGAATCAATGATCAGAGTGATGTTTTGTGGTGGTGTAGGGATAGGTTGGAAGAAAGAGCTAGGGGCGGTCAGACCAAAACATGGCAGAAATCCATGAAGTCACTGACAAGTGGACTGAGTCATGCTGGTAGATGTAGACAATCACGTTAGTGTCCGCGAGACAATAGTAACCGATGGTTTGAGAACTTGAATGAGATAGCTGAAAAATCGTTCACAACGGCGTACATGCATCTATTGTTTGTGTTTCTCTCTCTCAACTTTCTATTTTACAGTTTATATTCACTCTACTGTACGCCTCGAATCACATCTTCGAAACCTAATCTTCTCCATTACTTTTAGTACTTCTACTACCTCTACCAATATGGGATTTTAATTGACGATTCGATCTTTCTATGCGCTAATATGGTATAGGAACTTGAACTGATGTACGTACGTACGATGTTCTTCGTTGTAACTGACTGACTGATCGAATCAGAAATTATAAAAGCAACATTCATTTTTTTTGGTGAAATGATGAGTTATTACTGCTGAAGAGTTTTGCTCAAATCTAGATAAAACATTAATGTAACGACTCATCCGAATATGAAATTAAAAGTGGTCAGAACAATATGTGTACTTGTTTCTTGTACTCGATTACGTCATGCTCTTACTCTCCCTTTCTCTCGTTCTATGAATTATCTAATCTATCAAGTGAACTTATGACAATGTAATGTAAATTAACACCGCCAGGAGTCCCTCTGGCGATACTGCAGGTCCCAAGTTCGGATAAAGGAGGAGGGTTGAGCATGGGGTTGGTGACCCCATTCAGTAGAAAACTAACTCGCTAAAAAAAATGCTAACCAGAAAGCATTCGCGAAAGACATGAGAAGAATGAACAAAAATTGGACAGAATTGGAAAGGGAAGCGCCTATGACAGAGAAGGTTGGAGAATACTGGTCGGCGACCTATGCTCCATTATGGGGTAACAGGCGTCAGTGAGTAAATTAAATTATTTTTCACTAATCAACTAAACAACTTTCTGCTGAAATAATGGTAATTTCTGTAATTCACTAATAGAATCATCATCATCATCATCAACACTAACGTAGAACTTCGTACGTAAGTACAGCAGTTCAAGTTGTCATACCACATTAGCACATAGAGAGATCGAATTGTCACTTGAAATCCCATAGTGGTAGAGGTAGTAGGAGTACAACTGGTAATAGAGAGGATTAGGGTTCCAAAATATTATTCAAGAAGTATAATTCAGTGAGATAACTTTAGAAAGTCAAAACTAGTGGGGTTGAATAATCCAGTAGATTAGAATTTCATAGAACACAAAGAGTAAACTCAATTGCACCATTGCAAACGGTTTTGAGTCTTATCATTCAAGGTCTCTAACCATCGATTATTATCATCTAGCGGACCCCAACCATGTAGTCGACACCTAACAACATGACTCAGTCCACTTCTCAGTGACTTCATGCAATTCTGTCACGTTTTGGTTTGGCCGACCCTAACTTTCGTCCAACCTACTCCTGCACCACAAAACATAGCTCGACGATGCAGTCAGTGGTTAGGCATACGCAGCACATGTCCCAACCACATCAATTGATGAAGTTTCACTACTTTATCAATTGACCTGCCATCTTTACCTAGCACCCGTTACCTAACAACAGCATCGCTTACTCGACAGTCCCACGATACTCGAGCAATGCTTCAGAGAAACCTATGATCGAAAACTAGTAACTTAAGAATATCTTCTACTCTGACTGGCCATGTTTCAACCAACAGAATACATATTAGATATTATTAGATATTATTATTTTTAATTCGAGTATTATAGAGATCGTAGTTTCGCCTTCAAATCGTGATTTAATCATTGTTAGATCACCATTAGAAACCTGAAATCACTGAATGGCTGTTTCATCCTGGTATGAGACTCATCAGCATTACACACCCATGACTACCGCCACTAACAAGATTCAAACCCAAGACCTTCGGGCTTGCACGCGAACGCTTCATCTCTTAATCACTAAGCTAGCATCCAACGGTATTCTTGTCCAACTCTAATCAATCTAAGGATTTTGTGAAACCTCACTCATTATCTTCGATAGTTACTGCTTACACTCGACAGAGTTGAACTCCACAAGTCACATCTTATTCTCACCCTAATGAAACTAGTCATTAATAAGCAGATTTCATGATCTTTGTTTTCATTATTGAATTATGAAGATTGTTGTGTTTACATGACGTGTAGTAAATTTTATGCAATCAATAATTAATAATCAAATTACTGGAAAAATAGTAATAAAAATAAGTGGCCTTTCATCAATCAAAAACTATAAATTAAGGTCAAATTTAATACACTAAACATGCAGAAATTTGCATGCAAACTGTAAGTTTAATACTTCGGTAGATGAATTCAGAGTAACTAAAGTACAGGTTAATACACTCTGATGGAGTAGCAGTTTACTAGTCAAGTGGTTCAACCTCAAAAAACACTAGATGTCGACAGTTCGATTCCCGCTCTACCTAATTTTGTTCAAGTAACCAGAGAGTAACATAGGTCTTTAGACTTAAAGTGGGCCTCAAAGTTAAATGCACAAATTGATACTTGATAAGTCAGTAGTAAAGTACTGATCAAAGCGAAAAATCCTTCGCTCATTAAACTATTACTGCACAAAATCAACATTATACATAAGCCAAGAGTTGACAGACTTAGTCATCAGCAAACAAACCCTATATTCAGTCTCACTAATTCATACATGTGACAAAGTATAATGAAGTAAAGGTAGGCTGAAGAGAATTTAGAAGCAGTCAAAAGAAAGCATAACATAGTATCAGTCCATTACAGTCATTGACTATTAAAGTTTAACCCATATTGGTAACCGTAGTCCAACTTGTTAGGGTTCGTATGACTAGTCAGATCAGATGCAACGTAGAATTTCGTACATAAGTATATCAGTTCATATTGCCATACCACGTCAGCACAGAGATATAATTGTCAATTCAAATCCCATAATAGTAGTAGAGGTAGTAAAGGTATTAGAAGTAATCGGAGAGGTTAGGATGTAACCCAGTCTTGAAGCAACATTTTGCATTTCAAGGGGGAAAACCGCATCCCAAACATACTTGCGTTGTTGCTTAGGGTAGTCAGAAGACTCTGCATTTTGTCAGCGTCTTCACCAAGTAGAACTATGTCATCGGCATATTCTAAATCAATAAGCGAGCCACCTGGAAGAACGTCAACTCCTGAAAATTCAGAAGAGGATAAGGTTATTTCTAGGAGCATGTCTATGATAAAATTAAACAAGAATGGAGAAAGTGGACAGCCCTGACGGACACCACTTGAAGTGAAGAATTCCAGTGACAGTTCTCCATAAGCTCTCACTCGACCAGTAGTGTTCGAGTAAAGGGCTTGTATAAGGTTAATGTACTTCTTTCGTACACCTTTCAATGACAGACACTGCCACAGAACCTCACGATCCACAGAGTCAAATGCCGCTTTTAGGTCCAGGAAAACAACTATTGTAGGACGCCTTAATGTGTGTCTGTGTTCCAGGACATGTCTGAGTGTGAAGATGTGGTCTATACAATGTGACTAGTAGAGAAGTCAGAGTTAACATTAACTCCCATTACTCGAACCCGATGCCGTTCGGTTTAAATACCATTGCCTTATTGTTAGGATATTCATCCAATATCCTAAGAGAGTTATTGGTCCATTCCTAATGGTTAATTCCTACTGGTCAATTTTATGGTCGTCCTAGTAGATATCAATGTCATGTACTTCAGTGTTGTTTCTTATTGGTCGTCTTAACTGTCAATGTCACAGACTTCGATACTGTTTCCTATTCGAGCAAAATGTATAAATACGCATTATCTGTAACGTTTTATGACCAGAACAAGGACCCGGTCCCGGATCCCTAGTCCGGGATCCTGATCCTCTTCTGGACTCGGACCTCGTACTTTCTGGATGCTTGTAGAATACAGGTTCTACTTCATATCAAGCTTTCTTCTTTTATTAAATGGAGGTTGGGATAATCAGATTTGAGTAGCATGTCGTGTCACCGGATCCTCGATCCTCGCTCTCGAGTTTCCGACTATGTAAACTCGTAATAGTTCAAGCATATCAAGTTGACGTGTTTACGTGCAGGCGTAATACTTATCCAGATAACCAATCTTATTCTATCCACTTGATATTAACTTTTGTGTCCTGATGACTATATATTTATCGAGACAATTTGCATATAAGACACTCTCTCAAATGTCAATCAACACTGGTCATATATCAGTCAAAATATCCACAATAATTAGATAATTCAAAACATTTTCTCAAATTGAATAAAAATACCTCAAAAATAGGTGTAGATAATATACAACGTTTTAAATCTTCTTCATTCAAGCAAACATTGGATTTGTTTAAATTGGATGCATCTTTTTCTGGGAAAATTAATTTTCCTGGTGGTACAGGAATATCTAATAAGTTTGATAAAGAATCCGATATTTGACCATCTAGAGAAAAAACTAATATCAGAAAAAAAAGGAAGAGTAGTAGGGGTAGAAATATGCAATGAAAATTAATTACCAGTTGACAAAAACAAATGTGCTGCGAGCTACTTATAAGTAGTATATGACGTGAGTGTCAATGTAATGTCTGGCAGCAGAAGATGGGGGAAGATCAAGAAAGGAAGAGTTAGAACACAATGGAATTTGTATGAAACGCATGAATAGTGACAATGGATTGATGTTTTGCAACAGGAATAGTCCAGTTCGATATGATGAACTGATATTTTGCAAATTAACGATTTACGATATGGTTTTCCTATTTTACTGAGTAACTCTGTAATTTTCGTTAAATACAATTCGGTTGCCCCACCTGTGTTTTCGTTCACTACAAAAGTACATATATTATTTTAAACAATAAGAAATAAAAATAATTCAATGATTTACAACAGAAATTTCACGTTAGTAGATATTTGTTCAATTTTCAAGTTTATCAATATTGAATATTGAAAATATTTAAAACTAAAGCTCTTAACTGAAAAAAAAATAAATTACTGGCAATGTGTAACAAGTTTTAATCCTGTGCTGTATTTTTGATATTGTTTATAATTGATTGACAAGCATTAAGTTAGAAACAATGAAATCTGCAAAATACTTAATTACTTACGCCTGTTACCCCCAATGGAGCATAAACCGAACACCAGTTTTCTCCAAACAACTCTGTCCTAAGCTTCCCTCTCCAGTTCTGTCCAATTTTTCTTCATTCCTCTCATATCTTTCTCTATTTCTCGGCGTGATGTGTTCCTTGACCTCTCTCTTTTCCTTTCGCCTTGAGGGTTCCATGTGAGGGCTTGTCTTGTGACGCAGTTAGGTGCTTCTCGTAGTGTGTGTCCTATCCACTTCCACCGCTTCTTCCTCATTTCCTCCTCCACTTGAATCTGGTTTGTTCTCTCCCACAGTTCGTTGTTGCTGATGGTGTCTGGAAAACGAATACGAAGTATTTTGCGAAGACAACTGTTAATAAACACTTGTATATTCTGGATGATAGCTTTCGTAGTTCTCCAAGTTTCCTCTCCATACAGTAGAACTGTGTTGACATTTTTATTGAAAATCCTTATTTTGGTGTTGATTGATATCTGTTTGGAGTTCCAGATATTTTTCAACTGTAGAAATGCAGCCCTTGCTTTGCCAATCCGTGCCCGCACATCTGCATCGGATCCACCTTTCTCTTCGATGATGCTGCCCAGATATGTAAAGTTGTTAACGTCTTAACGTCTTCCATGGCATCTCCATCAAGATTGATTTGGTTGGTGCATGTTGTGTTGTATCGGAGAATTTCGCTTTTCCCTTTATGTATGTTGAGACCTACTGTTGCGGAGGCTGCTGCTACACTGGTCGTCTTCTCTTGCATTTGTTGTTGAGTGTGCGATAGAAGAGCCAGGTCATCTGCGAAGTCCAGATCGTCCAGCTGCGTCCTAACTGTGCAGTTGATACCGTGCCCCTATAAATGTCCTGGTACAGTCAACAGTAGGGATAGTCCACTCTCTCTTTTCATGCTTTCGTATGAAGACGTGTATATAACCACTAAAAGAGTAGTCCTACTCAATTACCTTCTTGTGATGAGAATGCTGTTTAAGAAATTAAAGAGATGAGAAGCGAATGTCCAACGGAGTCTTAAACAGAATTGATGAATACGGATAATCCATCTTGGGGAAGTTGGAAAACCCTAATTTCAAACCAATGGTGCAGCACATGAGCTCCAGAATTCTGAGATAACAAATGGCTTATGAAACTATTTTCAATCACCAGGCTACTATGGGACTACATCTCTTGACATTGATCTACTGTCTCATGCATTAGACTTTTAAGTCAAAGGCTCTGGAACTGCTCCCCCTTTAAGAAAATCATTTGATTGGGTTCGAATACACCTGGATAGTATCCCATTCCACACACACACAATGTACTAATAAATTATTTGTTTAAATAAATCCATTTTTGAAATCATGAACTGATGAATGTTAGACCACTATTAGAAACTTGGAAGCAGTGGACGGCTGTTTCGTCCTAGTATGGGACTAATCAGCAATGTGCATTCACGACTCCCACTACTCGGAAGATTCGAACCCAGAAGCTTTGGTCATGGGTGCAAACGCCCAACATCTGGACCCCTAATCCAACATTCAACGATGTTAATGTCTAACTTCAGTCAATCCACCATCTTGTGCAACTTCATCATCCACTGTCTTCCATGAACACTGCCGAACACACACAACCGAACAAGGGTTGAACTTCACTGGTCATGACTTCCCCGCCCCCACTAGAACTTGGAGAAATTTCTTCACGGAACTAGTATCACTAATGATCACAAATGTGTAATCGAATGACTAAAAACTAACCAACAAACTGACTGAGAGAAAAAATCAACCCATAGAATAAAAATTCTTATTACCTAATTCATTTGGATAAGCTTTAGAATATTGATGATGCTGATGCTGATGCTGATGATGCAATGACAAAGGAGGAAACATTTCACGTATCATTGGAATACTACGTCCAGTAAATGGATGACGAATGAATATATTTAAAATTTCTGGCCAAGGTGATACGGATGTACATGAACCAATGAATAATTTATTATTATCTCCAACTAATTGATTGGTTGATTGATTTGATGAATCAATCCACCAATTAGAATAGAGAATTAATTTTCGACTATAATTCATATCACGTTTATGTTCAGGCTACAAACAGAAAGAAAGCAGTAGAAGAAGAGCAGTAGACCGAAAAATGAATAAATAGAATCATTAATTAAAAAGTGAACAAATGAACAATCAGTCATTGAAACGTACGTTAGTACGTACATACGTAGATCACTTCAAGTTGCCATACCCACATTAGCACACAGAGAGATTGAATTGTTAATTGAAATGATATATTTATTGGCAGAGGTAGTAGAAGTATGAACAGTAATGAAGAAGATTTGGGTTCGGAGAAGTGATTTTTGAAGAGTACAGTCTCGTGTGCTGTTACGGGTATGAAGGCGGTTGTCACTTCCCGGCTGACCACACCGTGGAAGGCTGTTTATTGAGGAACCTGAAAAGGAAGATAGATTAGCGTGACCGCAGAGCCAAAAGGACAACTGCTTGAGGCCGGTCACGCACCGCCTTTTGATGAGCTTTTTGAGTAGTAGTTCCGCTCTTGAAAGCCCTTAGTGGGAAGCCTTACAGACGGAGACGCAAATCCGTCAGCTGAGGTGAGGTGAGGTGTGACATTTTTAGGGTCGACCCCTTCTAACCCTTCCTTACTTGTGAGAAGGCACCATCGCTGCAGATGCTGGTTGTACGAGGGAAACACCTTACTGCTGTCACACCCCTCCATCACAGTCAGCAGTACGACTTCGCTCTCAGACCTTGAGTAGCTGCTTTTAGTCTCATCGTTCTCCAATCGACCTGCCTGGCATGGTAGAACCTTCAGGAACATACGTTCCAGCCAATACAGCTCGGTTGGGTCATCACGATAGGCAAACCCTACCACCACATCAAGGTAGAAGCTTCGGTTGGGTGAGAAGCCCAGTAGAGTGAAAATAAACTTAAAAAGAGAAAGATAAAGGTGATGAGAGATTCAGAAGATTGGAATCATGAAAGAACACACACAATGGATGCATGGGAGCAATTGCAAACGATTTTCAGCCATGTCATCCAGGGTCTCTAACCATCGATTATTATTATACCGCGGACCCCAACCAGGTAGTCGACACCTACCAACATGACTCAGTCTAGTTACCAATGGCTTCATGGATTTGTTCCGTGTTTTGGTTTGGACGCCTCTAGCTTTCTTCTAACCTAACCCTAAATAACAAACCACTACTTGTCGGGGCACTCGGTGGTTGGACACATGTAGTACATGTCCCAACCATTTCAATTAATAAAGATCCACTACTCCGACATTTCACTCGTCATTCTTACGTAATATCCTTTTTCTAACAACTGCAAGTGGGATGGAAAAAAGTGGATTGAAGTTATCAATTTGCTAACCAGAGGACGTCAGTCAGTCAGTCAGATGCAACGTAGAACTTGGTACGTAAGTACATCAGTTCATGTTGCCATACCACATCAGACAGACACGCAAATGTCAAATCAAATCCAATAGTAGTAGAGGTAGTAAGGGACGAGTGTACTATGCAGTAGTTCACTCCGTACTACTTTATGGATGCAAAACATGGCCAGTCAAAGTAGAAGATAATCGTAAGCTGCTGGTTTTCGATCACAGGTTTCTCCCAAACGTCGCTCAACAACCGAGTGATCAATGCTGTGATTAAGAAACGAGTCCTAGGTAAGGGTGGCAGATCAACAGATGAAGTAGTGGAACCTCATCAGATGAGGTAGTTTGGACATGTGTTACGTATGCCTAACCACCGACTGCCTCGACGAGCTATGTTTTGTGGTGTAGGAGTAGGTTGGAAGAAAGTTAGGGGCGGCAGCCAAACCAAAACATGGCACAAATCCATGAAGTCATTGACGAGTGGACTGAGTCATGTTGGTAGATGTAGACTACCTGGTTGGGGTCCGCGAGACGAAAGTCATCAATGGTTAGAGACCTTGAACGACATGGCTCAAAATCGTTTGCAATGGCGCAGGTGCATCCACTCTTTGAGCTCTCTCAAATCCTAATCTTCTGGATTAGCCAGCACCTCTACCTTTGTCTTTCTAACCTTATCTCACTGAATTATATTTTTTGAATAATATCTTAAACCCTAGTCTTCTTTATTATAACATTAATACCTCTAAACTATCTTTATCACTATAGGATTTGATTTGACATTTGCGTCTCTGTGCTAATAATGTGTATGGCAACATGAACTTATGTACATACGTACGAAGTTCTACGTTGCAACTGACTGACTGACTGATTGATTGACTGACACATTTTAATAAGTCTTTAACACTATTAATAATCGGTGGGCTGCTTGAATATTCAAGGGCTACTTGTTTCTTTTTAAAATTCAAAATATATCAACAAGTTACTCATTATTACTTGTTTTAACACGTCAATTAGGTTAATTAATCGCATAATCTATTTAGGCGCGTACATGAAAACTTCACCAGCTAATACTTCATAATGTACAAAAAACAGTACGATCCAAGATACTGCAGATTATTTTTAATTTTTGAAAATATAAATATGTTAGTATATTCATCCAATATCCTAAGAGAATTATTGGTCGATTTCTATTGGGTAAGTCCTATTGGTTAATTTTATGGTCGTCCTAGATATCAATGTTACGTGCTCCAATGTTGCTTCCTATTGGTCGTCCTAACTGTCAATGTCACAGAATTCGATGCTGTTTCCTATTCGACCAAAATGTATAAATACGCATTATCTGTAACATTTTATGACCAGGACCAGGACCCGGTCCTGAATTCCTAGTCCGGGATCCTGATTCACTTCTGGACTCGGACCTCGTACTTTCTGGATGCTTGTTGAATACAAGTTCTACTTCATATCAAGTCTTCTTATTTTTACTCAATATGGGGGTTGGGATAATCGGATTTGAGTAGCATGTTGTGTCACCGGATCCTCGATCCTCACTCTCGTTTTCCGACGAGGTAAACTCGTAATAGTTCAAGTATATCAAGTTGACGTGTTTATGTGCAGACATAACAAAATATAAAATAAATGGTTCGAGAAAGAGAAATTAAATATTCATGCATCATAAAAATCATTAACTTTGTGTATAGGAAAGATACTACTACTACCTAGATGCTCAAACCAAACCAGGTGGTTTCATATGGGGCCATTTGCCAAACCTTTGATCTAGAGGTCTGATCTACAATACAATACAGTGGAGCAAGAAATACAGTCTCATGGTAGTTGGTCACAATTTTCAATCTAGATTTCAACACAGTTCTACTGTATGTGGAGTGGAAACTTGGAGTACCACAAAAGCTATCATCCACAAGATACAAGTGTTTATTAACAGTTGTTTATGCAAAATACTGAGGATTCGTTAGTCAAATACCATCAGCAACAACCTAATATGGGAGACAATAAACCAAATCCCAACGGACAAAGGAATAAGGAAAAGTTTTGGGGATGGATAGGACACACAGTGTGGAAAGCACCCATCACAAGGTAAGCCTTAACTTCAAACCCTCAGGGTGAAAAGAAAAGAGGAATTACCAAGGAACACATTGAGCTGAGTATTAGAAACAGACAAGAAAAGAATGTACAGCGATTGGATAGAACTCCGAAGGAGAGCGGGAGATAGAGTTGGTTAGGGAATGTCAGTTGGCTGCCTATACACTACAGCATTAACGGTAACAGGGATAAGTAAATAAGTAAGCAATCAATTCTTAAATTTGAAAGAATAATTTCTTTCACTCACAAAGTCTTCTCAACAAACTATATAACAAAGAGAGAAAATCATGATCAATATACCTTTCGATAGATATCTGTAAAATAAACACTATCTGGTCCAACTCTTATATAACTAATTAAATCAGCCACTGCTAAACTTGGATATTTTGTAAATACAACTAGACGTTCATTTTGAACTAAACCATTCCTGGCATGTTCACATTCTACCGACGACTGTGGTGGTGGTGAATTAGATTCATGATGTTCAACGGTGGATGACGATGAAGTATAAATATTGAATTCCATTTGTGTACCATTTAAATCACCAAGCCAACCACGTTGTAATTGGACAACATCACGCCATTGATTATTTTCAATATCTTTTAAACCATCTAAAAGAGACTGAACAAGATTGAAGGATATTGAAATTAATGTATAATATTTCACAATTCAGTTCACAGTTACAATATATACACTACTTACTAGTGTTGTTGTGAACGAGAACACAGGTGAGGCAACCGAATTGTATTTAACGAAAATTACAGAGTTATTCAGTAAAATTGGAAAATCATATCGTAAATCGTTAATTTGCAAAATATCAGTTCATCATATCGAACTGGACTATTCCTGTTGCAAAACATCAATCCATTGTCACTATTCATGCGTTTCATACAAATTCCATTGTGTTCTAACTCTTCCTTTCTTGATCTTCCCCCATCTTCTGCTGCCAGACATTACATTGACACTCGCGTCATATACTACTTATAAGTAGCGCGCACCACAGCACCACAAAGTGACATTAGCACAGACAGATGACATGTTTATACTCTTCCTGTCGATCATGAGAGCATCTTATTAACTGCAGATGTGAAAAGTGTGATCCATCTGCCGGTGGGATTCATACACATCTCAAGTGAGAGTTGCTCCAATAGAAACAGATGGATTGGGTTTTAAGCCTTGAACTTATTACTGCCTTAGAACTCTGAATGCCTTTGAAAATCTAAGGCTCCATTTCACTTTCTACCCACCAGTGTTTGCGATCATTGAGTAGGCTTTTTATCAGCCTGCGCCTCAGCTGACTTCACTCGTTATCGCAGTCAGAGCCAGAAAGGATGTGCCTTCGAGTATCAATCAGTCCCGTTGACACTACTGAAATCCACGGCTTCTCCCAAACCTTATGGTTTACCTTACAAGCAGATATCACTGCTGTTTCCACAGCGTTTTTGTTATCATCCCAAGCTGCCCCAAGGTGGACATCACTTTCCACATGGCTACCTAACTGTTTTTTTCTAAGTGTTCCTGAAATATATTCTTAACTAAGCTATCATTAAGTAGAACACCAAGAGGTTTCCTAGCGATATCTTTCCTTTGTCCAGTAAGCCTCAAACAAATACGCGCTCACGAATCTAAACAAGTGCTCCAATATGATCGGCAGTCTTCAATAAAGCCTCCCCAATGTTCCACCCTAGATATACAAAACGAGATAACATATACAAATAGTACAAATCGACTAAGAATGAAACTAATCCATACCAGGACGAAACGGCCGTCTTTCAGTGCTTCCAGGTTTCTAATGGTCGTCTAACAATGATTGATTAATTATTTCAATGTGTAAAAACAATAATCTCCATAAATCTAATTGGAAAAAATTGTAAAATATGCTCACTAGTGACTAGCTACGTGAGAAAATTCTTGGAGTTCAACCCTGTCGGGTGTAGGCAGTAAGTAACTATCAAAAACAAACGGGTTAGGTCGCACAAAATCTCCAGATTGATCAGAGTTAGACATTAACACCGTTGGATGCCGGCCGGCTCAGATGTCCAGAGCTTAAGCGCCCGCGCGCAAGACCGAAGGTCCTGGGTTCGAATCCTGTGAAGTGCAGGAGTCGTGGATGCGCACTGCCGATGAGTCCCATACAAGGATGAAATGGCCGTCCAGTGCTTCCAGGTATCTAATTGTGATCTAACTAACAATGATTGATTCATGATTTCAATGTGTACTTAGTAAAAAAAGCCGTTTAAAAATCTTTGAGTATTTGATTGAAATACGGGGTTGTGAAGATTGTTAAGTTACACATTTTTGAAACCATGAATCGATCAATGTTAGACCACCATTAGAAACCTGGAAGCACTGGACGGCCGTTTCGTCCTGGTATGGGACTCCTCAGCAGTGCGCATCCACGACCCCTGCACCCCGCAGGGTTCGAACCCAGGACCTTCGATTCATGGTTTCAAAAATGTGTAACTTAACAATCTTCACAACCCCGTAATGCAAGTTACCTGTGCTCACTAGTGACTAGCTTCGTGAGTTCTAGTGGGAAGACGTGACCAGTGAAGTTCAACCTGTTCGGGTGTAGACAGTAACTACCGAAGACTGTGTATGAGGTTGCGCAACTCCATGAATATGATCAAGTTAGACATTAACACCGTTAGATACCGGCTCAGTGGTCTATCGGTTAGGGCGTTCGCGCACAATACCGAAGGTCCTGGGTTCGAATCCTGTGGGGTGCAGGAGTCGTGGATGCGCACTGCTGAGGAGTCCCATACCAGGACGAAGCGGCCGTCCAGTGCTTCCAGGTTTCTAATAGTGGTCTAACATTGATCGATTCATGGTTTCAAAAATATTTGATTCAAAACAAAAAAAGTACAAATAAAAAAAATGATTATCAATTCAATGTTAATTCAATTACTTCAGAATAAGCAGTTATTCGAAAAAACCATTGACGTAAAGGACGTCGTACTACTTTAGCACCAGAACGCCATGAACATCCTTGATTATCAATTAATTCATCAGCTAATACAGTCTGATCAATTGGATCCCAATTCACATAAGCTAAACGATGATAAGCTAAGCCAGATTGATATAATTTTAAAAAAATCCATTGTGTCCATTTATAATAAACTGGATCACAAGTGCTTAATTCTCTTGACCAATCAATTGATAAACACATTGTTTCATTGATTTGTTGTTTCATTGATAGTATATTACTGAAATGTGTAAGAATATACAATTTTATGAGGAATACAAAGAAATAAGCTGGAAAAAAAGTTTTAAGCAAGGAACTTATACTAACTCTACCATTATGGGATATCAGTCAGAATAAGGTTTTATGAGATTAGGAATAACGTTTCGTGAACTCGCTTCGTTTGCATTAGCGATGCAGTGAGATAAAGGAATGTGAATAGATTTAGTTGTGGAGAGAAGAGAGGTATGTGTGGATGTAGGAAGGATTTGATTTTGACCAATTTGGTCTCGTGTGTTGTTACGGGTATGAGGGCGGTTGTCACTTCCCAACTGCCCACACTGTGGAAGGTTGTTTCTTGGGGGACCTGAAAAGGAAGATAGATTAGTGTTGGTCTTAACGACATGGGAGCACGACCGCAGAGCCCAACAGACAACTGCTTGAGGCCGGTAAAACCTTATGAAAGGTTTTTTGAGTATTAGCTCCGCTCTTGAAAGGCCTTAGTGGGCACCCTTACCCAAGGAGACGGAAATCCGTGAGGTAGGGTGAGGTGTGGCATTTTTAGGGTCGATCATTCCTAACCCCTCCCTCTTCCTTGTGAGAAGGCAGCATCGCTGCAGATGCTGGTTGTCCGAGGGAAACACCTTACTGCTGTCACACCCCTCCATCACAATCAGCAGTACGACTTCGTTCTCAGACCTTGAGTAGCTGCTTTTAGTCTCATCGTTCTCCAATCGACCTGCCTGGCATGGTAGAACCTTCAGGCAAGCCCGACAACCACGTCAAGGTAGCAGCTACGGTCGGGTACTATGGGATGGTACTATAGGATTTGAACTGCCAGTTGCGTTTCCGTGCTGATGCGGTATGGCAACCTAAACTTATGAACTCATGTACGAAGTTCTACATTGTAAATAACTGACTAATTGAGTTCATCAAAACCATTGGTTGATGAATTAAGGTCAAGTTGATCATTACAGACTACTTGATTGGAATCCGCGTGACTAGTGTAACTAGCGGTTGGATACGTTGAGTAATATGACTAGGGAATAAGTTGCATCTTTTCCTAAATTTTGGTTTTTTAAATTAACTTATGCATTTTCGTCTCACAGATTCACTCTTTTTCCGCGAAACACATTGTCTATGATACTGTTGTCACTGCTATTGCTTTGCAATATCTATTCTATTTCTTGTTGTGCTGATATGATGTCAGTCAGATGCAACGTAGAACTTCGTACGTACGTACATCAGTTCATGTTGCCATACCACATTAGCATAGAGATATAACTGTCAATTCAAATCCAATAGTAGTAGAGGTAGTAAGGGAATTACAAGTAATCGGAGAGGTTAGAATTAGAAGATACTATTCAAGAAGTATGATTCAGTGAGAAAAGTTTAGAGAGTCGAAACTAGAGGTGTTGAAGAATCCAGAAGATTAGGATTTGAGAGAACACAAAGAATAAATGCACCTGTGCCATTGCAAACGATTTTGAGCCATGTCATTCAAGGTCTCTAACCATCGATTATTATCATCTCGCGGACCCCAACAAGGTAGTCGACAATTACCGACATGGCTCAGTCCACTAGTCAATGACTTCATGGATTTCTGCCATGTTTTGGTTTGACCGCCCCTAACTTTCTTCCAACCTACTCCTACACTACAAAACAAAGTTCGTCGAGGCAGTCGGTGGTTGGGCGTACGCAGCACATGTCCCAACCACCTCAACTGATGAAGTTTCACCACTTCATCTATTGCTCTCCCATCCTTACCTAAAACTCGTTTCCTAACGACAGCATTGCTCACTCGGTTGTCCCACGATATACGAGTAATGCTTCGAAGACACCTATGATCGAAAACCAGTAACCTACGAATATCTTCTACTCTCAGTGGCCATGTTTCACAAATTGAGATGGTGGAGGAAATCTGTAGCTTAGGTGGATGATTTTGATGGAGTTTCATGCTCTGAATTGGAAGTTTTGGTTTAAGAGCTCTAGTTGTTCTCCCGAAACAACATTATATCAGCACAAACTTCAGCTAGAAATGAAGTAATTCAAGGCTTAGTTCTTAAGTATAACTCAGTTTGATGCAACCAAATAATAGGATGAATGAAAATCAGTATCAACAAATTTCTAGCTTATTGAGATGTTAAGAGTAACATTGAATAAGATAAAACCTATAAATTTTAGTTTCCATAGTTAGTTTCAGTCAGTCACAAAGCAGAACATGGTATGTATGTACACTGGTTCCATTTACCACAGTCTTTTAGTACAGTGAGGTGGGATTGTCAAGCTAGAAGCCAAAGTAGTAAAGGTGTTATTATTATTAGTTGTAACAGGAAAGATTGGTATGAAAGATATGGTTCAAGAAAATATAAATCACTGAGACGAGAACGAAAATTAATGGGGAAGACAAAAAATTGATGAGTAGATTTGTACCACCGCCGGAGATTTTTAATCATGTTATTCAAAGTCTTTAACCAATGATTCCGATAATCAACCCAAATCAGGTAGCTTACACTTGTTAATATGGATCAGTGTAATTATCAACTGCTTCATGAACTGGGTCCTGAGCCTCCTTCCAGCTTACTTATAGACGAAACAACATACTACGTCAAGATATCAGGTGGTTGAACACATATAAAACATGTTTTAACCATCACAGTTCACAAAGACTTACTACCTGAGTAATCAGTTTCCTGTTTATACCTAGTAGCCTATTTCCAACACCAGCATTGCTTACTCAATGGCACAAAAATATATCAGTAATACTTCGGAGACACCTATGATCGAGTACTAGAAACCTAAGAATATCTTCCACTTTTAATGGTTATATTTCACATCAATAGGACAGAACAGAGCGAACTGTTATGCAGTAAACTCAACTTTTGGTTGACAGATGGAAACCCTGTCTACTCCATGAGGTGTCATAGGCCGGTCGAGCCTTCTTTATCCGTGCTGAGATTTCGTCAGTCACCAGGCCATCAGCACTGATGAGACTCCCAAGATAAGTGAAGCGGTTTACAAGCTCAACTGATTCACTCCCTATCACTAGTTCAGGTGCCGATGTAACCCAGTCTTGAAGCAACATTTTGCATTTCGAGGGGGAAAACCGCATCCCGAACATGCTTGCATTGTTGCTTAGGGTAGTCAGAAGACTCTGCATTTTTTCAGCGTCTTCACCAAGTAGGACTATGTCATCGGCATATTCTAAGTCAATAAGCGAGCCACCTGGTAAAAGGTCTACTCCTGAAAATTCAGACGAGGATAATGTTATGTCTAGGAGCATGTCTATGATAAAATTAAACAAGAATGGAGAAAGTGGACATCCCTGACGGACACCACTTGAAGTCTTCTGTATCCGTGCTGAGATTTCGTCAGTCACCAGGCCATCATCACTGATGAGACTCCCCAGATATGCGAGGCAGTCCACACGTTCGACTACTTCACTTCCTATCACTAGTTCATGTGCCGATGCAACCCACTCTTAAAGCAACATTTTGCATTTCGAGGGCTAAAACCTCGAAAACCTCAATGAAGCGAAAAATCATAAGAATACATTATACTGTTGAATTTATTTCATAGTACCAAATATAAAACTCTATGAATCATTAGGAGCAAAACATATATACATTCTATCCCACTAAAAATACATCAAAGATAACATATTCCACTATGAATTGTCTTTGACAGTTAGCTTCTAACGGTATTGTTTGGCTTACTAAATCGAAATAAATGAAAATCTAAATTCATCCGAGAGATCACAATGTAAACTGAGTCATGATATTCGTTAAAACTAGATCAAGTGATAAACAGTAATTCGTAAAGTCGAAAAACAAATTAGCTATGATACTGAAGTATAAACAACTACATAAGAATATGCAGTTCAGTGTAATTAGCAGAACATAAGTACAATCAATAGAAATGATTGTAACTTGAGAATAATGAGAAAAACGACCATCATTCAAATAAATATAAACAAAGCAATAAAACACAGATGTTACTGAACTAACGCATATCAATTCTCGATATTTACTAATCGAATCATTGTGATCACTTGTAAATAGAAAACATATGGAGAACAGGTTCATAGCATGCATTGAGAGAAAAGTCACACGGGCGAAACAAAAAGATGGATATATATTTATCAGAATAATAATTTCAGTAGTTATACAGCTTTGTACTGTTTTAGATCATCTAACTGGATAAAATGCTGAATATTTGTTTCTACAAACTTTCTGAAGAAACACAATTTTAAAAGATAGTACGTTCTGAGATGGTCATACACGTTAAGTTCTCAGACCTCAGAATAAAAGAGCCTTATATATGTAACCCACTTTTCTTGTCTTAAGAAATCTCATCGGTATTCAAGTATCTCATTTGTCAGAGTTATATACCCGATTCAAGCAATAAAGACTATATCCAATGGTGATGACTATCAGATACTAATTACCATATTCGAAAACTGATGCACTGACTATAGTTTGGGCAACCGCGTAGTATTAATAGCCTTCACACTTAGAGTATGGTCCGCCAAACACTATATGAGTGAGACCATTCAAATGACTAAAATGTCACATACCAGAAGTTCAATTCAGATACCAACAAAGTATCAAGGACCAGAAAATTTCAAGTAATTTTATCGACAAAGTGGACCGAAAATATTCGTTATTCTGAACAGTATTTAACGACTAATCGATGATAATGGCTTCAGGATAATCACCGGTCTAAAGTGGAACTACTGAGTGAAGAACGTCGACGTTAGGTTCAAAGTGATTATAAGTAACAAATTAGTACGATGTTACAAACATAAGGATCAGAATACATTAAAAATATCTTCCATGAAAACAATTTACAAACGACAGACCTAACACATTTTTCGGACTTTAAAATTATAGATTATTTCTTAGCCTCCTAAATAGTCACAAATTACCGCGGGCGTCTGAATATGTTGACTTACTTTTTCGTCCAATTTGAAGGGTTCTCATTTCGGTCAATAGCAGCATTCTCTGCAGGCAGACCAAATGAATCCCAACCCATCGGACAAATTGTCAACTCGCCAGACATCGTTTTATAACGAGCTAAAACGTCCGAAACTGTGTAAACACGTAAGTGTCCCATGTGCAAAATTCCAGATGGATAAGGAAACATGGATAACACGAAAGACTGCCTGCCACTAACAGCTTTGTCCTGAGCGTAACAATAATGAATAAAGTTAACTTACACTTGAATTTTCTGCATCAATCTTCCGAATTATTGGTAGCCATTTTCGCTCTAATCTCTTCACATCGTTCAATCCATAATAAGTCTACAAATTTTTCATGATATTTTATTTGACTGTTATTACACAACATTTCCGAAGAATCAAGTAATACTTGGATGGACGGATCTTCAAGGAACCCATGTTATTTCGGATGGGGAACAGACCCCAAGGTCAAACTGCAAATGATAATCTAGTAGCAAAAACAAAACACTTGGACGTAGCATGAAGCCATCTAAACTGTGTTCCGGTCTGGTACGTAAATGCCCGGAGTTTACTGAGCAAGTTATAGGAGCGGCGTTTATAGATAGGCTCTACCTAGTCGGATGTACTTAATGTCACAAAAATGGGGTTGATACAGTCTGTAGACAATAGGGAATTTCATTTCAAACATTTCCTGATGATAAGAATTTACAAATCCCAAAAGCTCAAAGGAGGAGTGGCTTTGTACATTACGAATACTATCCCTTTTCGCACTTTTTATGACACATTCCATAGAAGTGGAACGTAAGAATCCGTGAGTTACATTTAAAACTGCAAGGATGGAGCACTGTTGATTGGTTTGCTTGGTATCAGTTCAAAATGAGACCTAGCTAGACAGATTCAGCACTTAAGCTTCAGGCAGCAATAGTATTTAGCTGGAAATCATTTAAGCAAGCGTTACAATAATTACTTTAGGAAACTCTTCAGCGATGCTGCCTTCTCACAAGGAAGGAATGGGTTAGAAAAGGTCGACCCTAAAAATGTCACACCTCACTCTACCTCACGGATTTCCGTCTCCGTCGGTAGGGGTGCCCACTAAGGGCCTTTAAGAACGGAGCTAATCCTCAAAATTTCTTTCATAAAAAGGCCGTGCGTGACCGGTCTCAAGCAGTTGTCTCTTGGGCTCTGCGGTCACGCTCCCAGGTCTCTAAGACCAACTCTAATATACCTTCCTTTTCAGGTTCCTCTAGAAACAACCTTCCACGGTGTGGGCAGCCGGGAAGTGACAACCGCCCTCATACCCGTAACAGCACGCGAGACCAAATTGGTCAAAATCAAATCCTTCCTACACCAACACACACCTCTCTTATCTCAACGACTAACTCTTCTCACATTCCTTTATCACACTGCACACCTAATGCAAACGATGCGAGTTCATGAAACGTTATTTCTGGTCTCCTGAAACCCCGTTTTAGACTACATGTTGGAGCTTTTAATTTACGGACATTGTGTCAAATAGGGCAACAGGCATCATTAGCTAGGACTTTAGAATCTCGTGCCATCGATGTATGCTGCGTCTCGGGAACGCGCATACAGGATCCTAGTAAAATTATTAATCTGATTTCACCTTGTCAAAATAAAGAAGCAGCTCGATTTACTCTTCGTGTATCTGGAAGCCCTGATGCTGCTTCCCGGGGTCTTGCTGGGGTAGGCATAGCATTGAGTCGTAGAGCTGAACTATCTCTCCTTGACTGGATCCCAATAGATAGTCGCTTGTGCGCTGTCCGACTAAACGGGACAGTAAGGACTCGGAATGATACGGACACTCGCCGTTGCCTCTTCGTCATATCTGCCTATGCTCCCACTGACTGCAGTGCAGACGAGGTTAAAGATGAGTTTTACAGAAAGCTTTCGGACCTCCTCCAAAAAACTAGGCGCTCTGATATAGTAATAATGGCTGGTGACTTTAATGCTCAAGTAGGTAGACTAAGTGAAAATGAAAGACACCTAGGTGGATGTTATGGTGTCGCGGCTCAGAGAACAGGCAATGGTGACCGTCTGTTGCAACTGTGCTCAGATAACCAATTATTTCTAGCAAACACTAACTTTAGGCGTAAAGTAAAGCATCTGTTGACCTGGCGACCTCCAAAGTCGTCTCAACGTTGGATTCAACTAGATCACATTGCCATCAGCCACCGATGGAGGGGTTAGATAGAAGACTGTCGCTCGTTGTGGGACACATGTTTAGATTCAGATCATACCCTAGTGCGAGCGCGTATTTGTTTGAAGCTTACTGGGCGTAGAAAAGACACCGTAAGAAAGCCTCTTAGGGTTTTGCTGAATGATAATAGGGTGAAGAATATATTTCAGGAACAACTACAAAGACAGTTAGGCGACCATTTAAGCGATTCTAATCCGGAGGCAGGTTGGAATGATATCAAAAAGGCTGTGGAAACAGCAGTGATATCTGCTAGTAAGGTTAAACATAAGGGTAGAATGAAACCGTGGATCTCAGTAGCATCCACCGATCTGATGGATGCCCGAAAACTCATCCCACCTGGCTCTGAACACGATGAAGAACGAAGACAACTTAGGTGCAGACTCATAAAAAGCCTACGTAACGACCGTGATCAGTGGTGGGTGGCGAAAGCAAAAGCGATGGAAAAGGCAGCGGCGATAGGCAACAGTAGACAACTCTTCAGACTTATCAAGGAAACTGGTATTAGGAACACAAGTGTGAGTGAGACTATTTCAGAAAAGGATGGTCTTATTATCCATTCTCAATCCAGGAGACTGGACCGATGGGCAGAACACTTTAAGGATCAGTTCAACTGGCCTCGAGCCACTCTTCAGTTACCCACGATCTCCAGTCATCCTGAATGGCAAATCGACCTAAGTCCCCCTAGTCTTAATGAAGTTGAAAAAGCGTTAGGAAATCTGGAACGAGGACGAGCTGCAGGTCCTGATAGACTGACCCCTGAGATATTTAAGGATGGTGGTCCAGTTTTAGCAGCTAGGTTGACTGAGTTCTTAGGCAGGATCTGGGAACTGGAGGTAATCCCATCCGACTGGTCTCAATCCTTGATTGTCCCAATCTATAAGAAAGGACAGAAGTCTTCTTGTGACAATCACAGGGGAATCAGTCTAACTAATATAGTATCTAAAATACTGGCCTCAATAATACTTCGACGCTTAACGAAAGCTCGTGAAGAGCAGACTCGAGAAAACCAGGCTGGTTTTCGACCTGGACGTGGTTGTATAGACCACATCTTCACACTAAGACAGGTCCTGGAACACAGACACACATTTAGGCGTCCTACAATAGTTGTCTTCCTGTACCTTAAGGCGGCATTTGACTCAGAGGATCGTGAGGTTCTGTGGCCGTGTCTGTCATTGAAATGTGTACCGGAAAAGTACATTAACCTCATACAAGCTCTCTACTCGAACACCACTGGTCGAGTGAGAGCTTATGGCGAACTGTCACCGGAATTCTCTACTTCAAGTTGTGTCCGTCAGGGATGTCCACTTTCTCCATTCTTGTTTAATTTTATCATAGACATGCTCCTAGAAATAAACTTATTCTCGTCAGGAGTAGACCTTTCACTAGGTGTCTCGCTTATTGACTTAGAATATGCCGATGACATTGTCCTACTTGGTGAAGATGCTGACAAAATGCAGTCTTCTGACTACCCTAAGCAACAATGCAAGCATGTTCGGGATGTGGTTTTCCCCCTCGAAATGCAAAATGTTGCTTCGAGATTGGGTTGCATCGGCACCTGAACTGGTGATAAGGAGTGAAGTAGTCGAACGTGTAGACCACTTCACTTATCTTGGGAGTCTCATCAGTGCTGATGGCCTGGTGACTGACGAAATCTGAGCTTGGATACAGAAGGCTCGATTGGCTTTTGCCAACCTACGTCACTTATGGCGTAGTCGAGATATCCGTTTGCTGACTATAGGATGAGTGTACTGTGCAGTAGTTCGCTCCGTCCTACTTTATGGCTGTGAAACATGGCCGGTGAGAGTAGAAGATATTCGTAGGTTACTGGTTTTCGATCAAAGGTGTCTTCGAAGCATTGCTCGAGTATTGTGGGACAGCCGAATAATGAATGCTGTTGTTAGGAAACGGGTACTAGGTAAGAATGGCAGGTCAATAGATTAAGTGCTGAAACTTCATCCACTGAGGTGGTCAGGACGTATGTTACGAATGCCTAACTACCGACTGCATCGTCGAGCTATGTTTTGTAGTGTAGGAGTAGGTTGGAAGAAAGTTAGGGGCGGCCAAACCAAAATATGACAGAAATCCAAGATATCACTAACAAGTGGACTGAGTCATGTTGGTAGATGTCGACTTACTGGTTGGGGTCCGCGAGATAATAGTAATCGATATCTAGAGACCCTGAATGACATGGCTCAAAATCGTTTGCAATGGCGCCGGTGCATTTATTTGTTGGGTTCTCTCAAATCCTAATCTTCTGGATTCTTCAACACCTCTAGTTTTGACTTTCTAAACTTTTCTCATTTAATTATACTTCTTGAATAAAATCTCCATATCCTAACCTCTCCGATTACTTCTAATTCCTTTACTACCTCTTTTACTATTGGATTTGAATGGACAATTATATCTCTGTTCTGATGTTGTATGGCGACATGAACTGATGTATTTACGTGCGAAGTTCGACGTTGCATCTGACTGACTGACTGAATCTGATGCACCTTCAATAGGCTGAATATATTCAAAAACTGAGTTGTCACGGAATTCAGTATCCAATATTTCAAATATCCTTTTCACGAGCTAGTATTTGACAGTTGATTTATTTGAGCTCGGTTCTTGCTCTTTCGGTACGGTCCCAGGTATTTGGTAGTGCTCAATGCATGAGAGTCTAACCACTCGAATGTCTACTTCTAGTCAGTTGGCAGTTGTTTGTGTGTCTGTATGTCACATGGTTTGAATAAAAATGTTTGTTTCAAGGCTGTAGGGTTTCTGGATACCAGCAGCTATCACATCACCAGACCGGAGATCAGTTAGTTGCAGTGTGGAGAACAATAATCAGAAAATTCTAATCCTCATATGATTTCAGAACTAAGTAAACAAACTGATAGTTTAGTTTATTAATTGGTACTGAAGATTGTGAGAGAGGATCTATGTGTGTAAACAAGGGATAGAAAACAGAGTTAATAGGCGATATAGATCAAGTTAGTGATCTGAGAAGATGGCAATAATAACAACTAGCAGTTCTCAAGACATGGATCAGGCACAGCTTGTTCACAAGGAAGATGATCATCTGTATGTGAATACGTGATTGTCAAGTCCCTTCTTAAGGCTATCCAATGAGGGATCTGTGGTCTCCACAGCTGGGGGAGCATTACAAGTTGCATACACTCTCACTGAGAAAATGTTTGCTCGAACTTGATTATTGGCTCCTTGATGCGCGACATTTCAATGATTACCACGAGGGCAGTGGTGGTAATGCA